TCCATTTTAGATTATTTTTTTAATTAATTCCCTCTTGTTTTATCTGTATGGAAATTGCAGCTTGGGATTTGAAAATTTGAAGCAATGATTCACAATTATCCTGAGGATATCATACATGATATCCTGTTTAGATTACCTACTAAATCATTGATCAGATGCACCTCAGTGTGCAAGCCAGGGAACTACAGGATAAAAAATCCCAGCTTTATTCGCACCCAACTCAGCCGTACAATCAATCTTAATAACCAGTCTGACGCCCACCTCCTCCTTCTGTACTGTGTTTGTACAGCGCCAATCGAGGAGCATTGCAATTTGCGTTATGACAACCTTGCCTTCGATGAGTACTGCAAGCTGGAATTTCCAATTCTTCCCAGGGAAGAACTGTACAATAAGTTTCTACGTGTGGTCGGTGTTTGTAATGGGCTGGTGTTCCTTGCTGACGATAAGGACTATTTAGGTTACACATTCATGTTATGGAACCCGTCTATAAGAAAGTCAGTGACCCTTCCTAACCCTCATCTTACCTTCGAGACAATTAGCAAGTATTATGCTTTGTATTGGTTTTGGTTTCGACGCTGTGACTAATGACTACAAGGTTGTGAGACTTATCACTGAGCAATGTGAGGATCCGAATATTTTCTATGAGGTTTATTCACTAGCTGGAGGCTCATGGAGTGATCCTCGTTCTCTGGATTTCGCATGTGAAGTTGTGAGTCGTCCCAAACCTCAGGCTTTTGTTAATGGTGCTATTCATTGGGAGGCATTATGCCATTTGACAGATGGTGGTTTCGAATGTTTCATTTTGGCGTTTGACGTGGGCAGCAATTCATTTCGCAGGATAATGGCACCAAAGAATTTCATAACCTCGTGCTCAACGCAACTGTTTATTTCAGGTGACGGGAAATCTATTGCTTTGTCCAAATTTATTCTACTAATACTGGAGAGTCATATCTTGATGCATGGGTGATGAAAGAGTATGGCATGGAAGAGTCATGGACCAAATTGACAACTCTATGTCCACCAGATATACAAAGAGAAGTTCCTTACAAGCCATTATGTTTTAGGAAAAGTGGTGATGTAGTGTTGGTTCCGACTGAGTATTTTTTATTATGGTGATAGGTGTGAATTAGTTTGTCCAGACCTTGTGAGCAAGCAATTTAAAAATCTTGGAATTCATGGATATGAATATTACTATGCTGAATCTTATGTTGAGAGCCTCGTCTTACTCGACAAGACTGATGCAGTTTCTTACTGAGGAAGAGAATAAGTAAGGTGGTACGACGGCTTCTGTGTAGCTGCGAAGCGATGACATCGTCGTGCATAATATTCTTCAGAAGTTTATCAAGACTTTGAATCTATTGCTTCTTTTCCTATTTGGTAGGAGATGATTGGGAATTTGGCACCCTTTTATCATTTGCTTCTCTTTGATCTGTTCTATATGTCTGTAGTAACTCTTTCAATCTAGCATCTGCTGCCTGGTTTATTTCAACAATCTTGCTTTTCGACTTTCTGAGTTTCGACTAGATTAAGGATATTCCGGTTTCATAGTTCTAGTTTCTCTGTTTGTTGTGATTATGTGGATTTCTTGTAGTTTCATGTGGCCTGTCAGTATACTAATATTTCGAAACATATACTATTTAAATTTGTGTCTTCAACACGAAAGAAGCAAGATCTAAAAGAGGAAGCGTATTCTTGACAACTAAATAAAAAGAATTTTGAAAGTCTTTATTCGCGAAGTACATTCAATGTGCTTCTCCAAATCATACTTAATGTTTAGGGTTTAAGATTTCGATCGATTTTACTCTAAAACCGCAATGTGACAATTTCAATAGAATGGTTTGGTTCAATCGGTTTTACAAAAGTCATTGAGCCATATTACAGCTGAGCATTATGCAAGGGATAATCCCTCTAGCTTGTTAGTTTTTGAGAGAAACTTGTCCACCCAAAGGATGAAGAAAACAATTTGATTTGAGAACCAACAAAACAAATGACATTTAGTATCACTGGAGGTGGGCATGCCACGAACAGATCGGTTATACTTAAACAACAAAAGTGTAAGCTTGAACCAATTATAATAATATAAATTTAGTGCAGATGACGCTTTATCACAGTGTCAGAAAATTATGTTATATCAGCAAACCATTCTCCCTCCTAACAACTACAATTTAACCCACTAAGCCCTGGTTTGTCATTGAGGTTATTTAAAAAAAAAGTGGGTATGAAAAAAAGTTGGGAGGGTTTTTGGTGTTTGATAAACTCTCAAAATCAGCTTTATTTCAAAGTTTTGGATGAAAATAAGCCCAAAACTTGAAGCTGCAAATAGCAGCTTCCAAAAACCAACTTATTTTCAAAAACACGGGTGAACAATAATCTTTAATGAATTTTTCAATAACCCAAAATTGCCCTTCTTTCCTCGCATTCACGCTCTCGCAAAACTCGAACCAGAAAACTTCAATCCTAGATCTCTATTGTTCTCCAGGTTTCTCCGGCTCGGTGTAGATTCAGAGTTACCTAGAGTTAAGATTTGGCAATTGGTGTAGATTCAGTCTTAAGTTCGCCGGAAAAATAACCAAGAAGGTCACCAGATTTCTAGGCATGAACACAGAGAAGACATTTGGGGTTAAATCCCAACAATTTCATGCCAAAATTCGATATGTAGGATACAGAAGTTGTACCTAAGATTAAATGAAAGTTGAATTGAGTTTGAAGCACCCTAATTTCGTTGAGCCTCAGGTCAACTCGTCGAAGAGTTTTTCACCGAGAGGGAAAGGTTGGCTTTCTTCATTTTTGAGTACTTGATCTTCACATGCAACACCACCATTCGAATCCATAGGTCAAACTACACCTAAAACAGGGAATATTGGTATGGATTTCACTCGAAAATTGGTGTTGGTGTGGGTGATTCTCTCGGTAATTAGAGAGAGTGAAAGTATCATAGAGAGAGAGTTAGAGAGAAAGGAGAGTCTCACGGGAAAAAGGGAAGAAAGAGATAGGAGGGAGACCAAATAAAAGGAGTGGGCCCCTCAAGGCACACTAAATAAGACCAAATCATTTTTGTCATTTTACACAGTTACAACTGTTTTACATAAAAATTTACTAAACACTATAATATTGCTTTTTTTCTTCCAAAATAACTTTTACAAAAAAGTTTACCAAACACTTTGTTGCTTTATTTCACAGTTGTTTATTCTCATAGTACATCAGAAGTAGTTTTTTTTTTCAAAGCACAACAATATCAAACTAGCTCTAAGTGCAACCTTGGTGCAGGTTCATTTCCAACCAATCTTCCTCCTAACAACTAACAATTTAACCCACTAACGCTATCATTTGTAATATATATATTTGATCTTTTTAGCAATTTATTTGTAAAGTAATTTCTGCAAACCATTTTTGGTAGTGTCCAAAGTAAATAGAAAATAATTGACACGAGAATTATCTATATGATATATCGATTTGATCATACATTGAAGACACATATACCATGTATTGATGACATATCACTTTCATATTAACAATATAACAATAAATATCAATCCCAAACTAAAAATTGATTGTTTCAACAATAGTGATAAATTGTCATGGTAGTTAAGATCTTTCTCTTCCAGCCACTGCCAAACCTTCTCTTATTTTTTAGTGTAATTTTTTTTTTTTACTTTATTTGATATTTTATTTTTGAACAAATGATATTATCTACATTAAGGGAAAGATGGTGAACTTGGTCTCACAATGGGCTAACAATAATGTAGTTCAAATTCATCTTTTAGTGAGAATCGAACCTAAAACCTCTCACTTATAAGTAAAAAGAAATATCACTAAATCGTAGTACTAAATGATTTTTTTTAGTGTAAATTAAAATAGTAATCTTGCTCGTTCGTACTAAAAAGGGTCAGCCTAATTCTTTTTAAGCCATTTTATAAGGGACTTGGATTGTCTGCCCTCCTATTTCGGTGCCCTCCCCGTGCCCTCCTGTTTTGTGTGGTCACGGTTAAGCCACGTCAATATTTTATATTATTTTTTTATAAAAATAATAAAACAAAAAGAAATAGTAATATAAAATGTTGACGTGACTTAACCGTGACCACAAAAACAGGAGGGTACGAGGAGGGCACCACAATTAGAGGGCAGACAATCCAAGTCCTTTTATAAGTTCTCCAAATCTCAACCAAATCAATTATTACAGTCTGGTTTATTTTAGACCATTTGACTCTTCTATCATCAAAATAGACTCAAACCGGCCACTGCGAACCAATTAGTTTGGATGGTTCAGTCGGATTGTTGCTCACCCCTAATCGAAACCTTTTGTGAAAGTCGTACTCGTCAGAAAGAAAATGACTTAGATGGATCGGGCCATACTATAGTGGCATTATGATTCAAAACACAATATTTATGATGTAAGATTAATATGAGATATTGTGTCATTTGACCAAGACTTGTGTCATTAGACCGAGGCGTCATAGACTATTTACCGGTGCATCCATCTACATTACTGGAAAGGAGGAAGATTGTCTGCCCTCCTGTTTGGATGTCATTCATATCCCTTCCTATTTTGTGCTGTCACGGTTAACTCACGTCAACGTTTTATATTAATTTTTTTTATAGAGATAATAAGACAAAAAACAATAAGAATATAAAATGTTAACGTGGCTTAACCGTGACCGCACAAATAGAAGGAGATGAGAATGGCACCCAAACAGGAGGGCATACAATCTGCCTCCTACGGGAAAAGGATCCTCACCGGATCATTTTTATGGAGATCCGGAGGATTCTGTGATCATGTCCATTCATCGTACATCGTACGGCTAGAAATTGTTTTAGATTTAAAATTAAATATAAATAATATCTAATGAAAACTGATCGTACGATATACGATAAACGAACGTGATCACGGATTCCGAGGACGAGTTACGCTCCAAAATAAGGGGCCAAAGTTGAAATAAGATGAATTGTTAGCGCTAAAACTAGTCATTAAACCCTGTATAAACACAAGATGAACATGAAGCCTTTAAATCTCCAACGGGCATATAAATACAGATAGTGAGATACAGACTACAGAGGATCCTTCCTTCCACTAGGGTTTGTGCCGATGCCCTTTCCTCACCTAAAGAAAGCAACGCCCTAGAAGGCTAGAACCCAGAAAACCTCCACTTTTTTTCGCCTCAGCAACGCCGCAGAAGAACGAGGCTCGCTTCCTTAACTCCAATTTTCTGCCCATCGAATTTGTGAGTTTCTAAAGTCTTTTCTTTTCTTCTATTTTTTTTTTCTGGCCTTTTTTTAAGAGCTTATTTCCTATAACAATGGTGGATTTGGATTTAGTGTTCGTTTTTTCAGATGGGTTTTGATATTTGGTTTCATCTGCAATTTTTTTAGTTTTTTATATGAATGTGGCACTACTCTTAAAATAAAATAAGAGTTGTGATATCCAGACATCCTATTTTATTTTTCACACACTCTTAATAATTTCTGTATGTTGATTTTCTTCAATTCATCTGATCCAACGACCGAAAATTAAAAAATATGTGAGAAATAAAATGGGATATGTGGATATTACATCCCTAAAACAATTGCCTTGATTTTTTTTAACTTCTTTTCAATTTTTAGGTTATTTTTTTTTTTTTTTTTTTTTTTTGTAATTAAATGCACTCTTATTCTATCTATATGGAAACTGCAGCTTGGGATTTGAAAGTTTGAAGCAATGATTCACAAATTTCCTGAGGAAATCATACATGATATCCTGTTTAGATTACCTCCTAAAACGTTGATCAGATGCACCCCAGTGTGCAAGCCATGGAACTCCATGATAAAAAATCCCAGCTTCATACGAACCCACCTCAACCGTACAATCAATCTTAATAACCAGTTTGGCACCCACCTCCGCCTACTCCACTGTGTTCCTGGAGATATTCTTTCCAGCAACGTCAATATTAGCGTAGACGAGCCAAGGGAGGAGCAGTTCTATTTGCATTATGACAACCATGCTTTTGATGAGTACTGCAAGCTGGAATTTCCAATTTTTCCCAGGGAAGAAATGCACAATAAATTTCTTCGGGTGGTCGGCATTTGTAATGGACTGGTGTTCCTTGCTGATGATAAGGATTGTTTAGGTTATACCTTCATGTTATGCAACCCGTCTATGAGAAAGTCAGTGACCCTACCTAAGCCTCATCTTACCTTCAACACAATTGGCCCTTATTATGCTTGTATTGGTTTTGGTTTTGAAGCTGTGACTAATGACTACAAGGTTGTCAGACTTATCACTGATCAATGTGAGGATCCAAATACTTTTTATGAGGTTTATTCACTTGCTGGTGGCTCATGGAGTGAGCCTCGTTCTTTGGATCACGTATGTGAAGTTACAGATCCTCGTAAACCCCAAGCTTTTGTTAATGGAGCCATTCATTGGGAGGCATGTCGCCGTTTGAAAATGGTGATTATGAAGATTTCATTTTGGCATATGACTTGGGCAGCGATTCATTTCGTGGGATAATGGCACCAAAGAGTTTCCGTAGCTCATGGACCACGCAGTTGTCTGTTTACGGGAAATCCATTGCTTTGTTTCAGCCTTATTTGACTAATACCGAAAAGCTTTGTCTTGATATATGGGTGATGAAAGAATATGGCAAGGAAGAGTCATGGACCAAATTGACAACTCTAAGTCCATCAGGTCCACAAAGAGGAGTTCGCTACAGGCCATTATGTTTTAGGAAGTGTGGTGATGTAGTGTTGGCACCAACTTATGGTTATTGGGATGATACTGGCAGGCATGAATTAGTTTGTCTCGACCTTATGAGCAAGCAATTTAAGAATCTTGGAATTCATGGACATAGATATTACTATGCTGAATCTTATGTTGAGAGCCTCGTCTTACTTGACAAGACCAATGCAGTTTCTTACTGAGGAGAAGAACAGGTAAGGTGATAGCATTGGTTTTTCTTTGGTTTTCATTTTCTTCTTGTTTCTAACGCTTATACCTCCAAACTCCAACTGACTTTGACATGATATGACCATTAGATTCTGGCATCGGAACAAAGTTTGTTATGCATTTGTTGCTTGAATTATTCTGCCCTGTAATTGGTTGCTTATTTTACATTCATGAAATGGACATTGAACCGAAGTGGTGATTGAAGATAATTCAAAAACCACCAATGTGGGACGATTAATGATAGCAGGACATACTAGTAGTGATTACTCTAATAAATGTTATTTGCCAGTGAAATCACAGGGAACTCTTCTTTCTACATTGTTGCCTTTCAAGGTGCAGACCATGTAATACTTGCTGCTTGATAGTAGCATGTTTATCTTTGCAAATCATTTACGTTTTGGATATACCTATATTGAACATTGGTTATTGTTGTCCATTAAGCACTGCTCGTTGAAGCATAATTGTATTCATGCGTCCTCCATGTAGGTCGAAAATGGGGCAGATAACCTTCAAGACTTTTACAATGTCTTCTCAGTAGCTGCGTAGTGCTCGCCTTGCTGTGTAGTGCTAGCCTTTCAAGTGATTGAAAGTGTACCTTTCTGTTTGCTAGGAGATGTTTGGGATTTGGTAACCTTCTTATTTAACCATCTGTAATTTCGAGTTTCGACTAGAAAAAGGACATCACTTGTAATCGAGATTTTCTGCCGTCCCTTAATGATGAATATCCTGTCACTAAATATGCTCTTGGTTAGAAATAACCATTGTTTCCCTTCAATTTGTTCGGTTTACACTCGTAGAAAAGTTGCTTATTACATTCTGCAAAGATTTGATGTTGTTTTGATCCCTTTGTTAACCCCAGCTCTGTGCTTTGCATATGTTGGTGCCAAATGTTGAGTGCATTATATCCTTTTCTTGATTACAAACCTTCATCTTGATGTCCTTTCTTGTGAAGCTTGCACCTCCGATAGGCGAGAAAAACTTTCATATCTCGAGATCGTAGCTCGAATGTCTCCATCTCTACTCTTTCCTTCAGTAAGTGTAATTACTCTTTCCTTCAGTAAGTGTAATAGTACTCCAAAAGGTATTATCAATGACTTGAAAACCACGAGACTTGTTTATGCCCTATAGATGTTTGATCTTCAGTTTCTTAGGATTCAATTGGAAGTGCTTTTAAAATGATTGGAAATGCTTTTGATGAAAATGTTTTTGGAATCAATCATTAGTAAAATACAAGGAAACCTGAAAAAGCATTTTGCAATAAGCATATGACTGGTGATTCTTTCAGAAAACATTTCAAGTATTTTTGAAAAGTAATTTTTTTCTTTTTCTAAAAGTACTTTTAGTTATTTTATGAATACTTTCAAACGAGTCTTTAATTAAATTGAGGACGTGACAACCACGAGACCTTCACATAGACCAAGAACAGTCATTGTGGAGCTTAAAGTTCTCTTGAAATGACAGTTGCACAATTTGGTCACAATGGTCCAAGTGTGGCTTCTATGTATCGTAAAAACTGGGTTCCACGTCTGCTTGATCATTAGTCTACGCTCTAAGGGAGGTCCAGAGGGTATATTAGACAATAGAAATAAATTGATACAATTTTCAGAACCTTGACGTGCAACGTGAAAAAACTGAAAGTTTGTTACCCATTTTAAAAATCACGATTCACCATAAATATGAAGAATGTAGTTAACCCTAGAGTTTTTATTAAATAACTTCTTCAAGAAATACCTTTTGATACGCTTTACCATAAAGCTAAAAAAATGCTTTTAGAATCAAAGAAGCACTTTTAACTATTTGGTCCCTAATCAATATAATAATGTTTCAAACGATAATATTACGTAATATTAAGCAAGAAAGAGTTACAAAAGAAAGGATGGCCTCGTTAGAATTTTGAATGGTGCTTTCACTTGAGTTGCAAGAAAGGAAAATTAAACACCATGAAAAACTAGGTAATATTTTTCAAAGTGAACCTATAAATAGGACAAAGATCCTCTTTCGATCTCACTACCAAGAGTCCAGAGACTAGATAATCTGGACCACTCAAATTGAATCTAACTGTTCTCATTAACTCATTTTGTTGGACCACTCACACAAACCAAGGATTCCGATCTCTCTTTCACATAAACCAAGGGCCTGGATTTCCTACTCTTTAGAAGGTCTATCCAAATTCCTATACATAGATGATGCAGGAATATCATCCAACGCAATCAAAACGGATTTCCTACTCTTTAGAAGGTCGATCCAAATTCCTATAAATAGATGAAGCAGGAATATCATCCAACGCAATCAAAACCCTAGCTTGCAGCACTCTTCTTCTCTAACACAACACAGTAACGAGTCTCGGTTTCCCCAACTCATATTTTCGCCTCATCGATCAAATATTGTAAGTTCTTTATGCATTATTTTTTTTCTTCTTTTTCAAGAGTAGGATTTTGTTCTTCTCTTCTGTTTTAGTTTTTGTTGTAGCGACAGTTAGTTTCTTCTTCTCAATTATTGCTGGGTTATTGTTTTGTAATATATTTCCTCACTTATTGTTAGGTTATAAATTATTTCCTGACTGGGTCTATCTCTATGAAATCTGCACCCTGGGAATTGAAATTTTGAAACAATGGCTCACAATTTGCCTGAGGAAATCATACATGATATACTATCTAGACTACCGCCTAAATCTTTGATCAGATGCACCTTGGTGTGCAAGGCATGGAGGTCCACGATAAAAAATCCCAGCTTTATTCCCTCCCACCTCAACCGTACAATCTATCTTAATAACCAGTTTGGCACCCACCTCCTCCTACTCCACTGTGTTTCTAGAGCTATTCTTTCCAGCAGCGTCAACATTTGGCTTGACGAGCCAAGGGAGAAGCATTGCAATTTGCACTATGACAACCATGCTTTTGATGAGTACTGCAAGCTAGAATTTCCAATCATTCCCAACATGAATAAATTTCTTCGCGTGGTTGGAGTTTGTAATGGGCTGGTGTGCCTTGCCGTTGATAACGACCGTTTAGGTTACATATGCATGTTATGCAACCCGTCTATAAGAAAGTCCATGACACTTCCGAAGCCTCATCTATCCTTCGAGACCATTGGCCCGTACGATGCTTATATTGGTTTTGGTTTTGACGCTGTGACTAATGACTACAAGGTTGTGAGACTTATCACTGAGCACCGTGAAGAGCCGAATACTTTTTATGAGGTTTATTCACTAGCTGGAGGCTATTGGAGTGATCCTCGTTCTCTAGATCACGTATGTGAAGTTACAGATCCTCATAAACCCCCGGCTTTTGTTAATGGTGCTATTCATTTTAAGGCATTCTACCGTTCGACAAATGGTGGTTTTGAATGGTTCATTTTGGCGTTTGACGTGGGCAGCAATACATTTCGCAGGATAATGGCACCGACGGATTTTGCAGCCTCAGCGTTAACGCAAGTGTCTATATCAGGTGACGGGAAATCTATTGCTATATTCAACCTTTGCCAGTCATTTCTTGATGGCACATATCTTGATATATGGGTGATGAAAGAGTATGGCATGGAAGAGTCATGGACCAAACTGACAACTCCATGTCCACCAGATATACAAAGAGAAATTCCCTACAAGCCATTATGTTTTAGGAAGAGTGGTGATGTAGTGTTGGTACCGGATGGTCATCCTATTTATTATGGTGATCCGTATGGAATAGTTTCTCTAGACCCTGTGAGCAAGCAATTCAAAAGTCTTGGATTTCTTGATTGCGAATATTACTATGTTGAATCTTATGTTGAGAGCCTCGTCTTACTCGACAAGACCGATACAGTTTCTTACTGAAGAAAATAACGGTAAGGTGGTCCGACGGCTTTTGTGTAGCTGCCAACTGATGACATAATATTCTTCAGAAGTTTATCAAGACAGATGAATCTGTTGCTTCTCTTTCTGTAGTCACTGTTTCAATCTAGTATCTGCTGCATGGTTTATTAATTCTAACAATCTCGCTTCTCTTTTCGAGTTTCGACTAGATTAAGGATATCCTGGTTTCATATATCTAGTTTCTCTGTTTTTGATCATGTGGATTTGTTGTCTGTTTCATGTAAGTTTTTTTTTTCTCTATGTGTAGTATCTTAATATTTCGAAACATTACTATTTAAATTTTTGTCTTCAATGCGAGAAGAGCAAGATCTAAAAGAGGAAGCTTATGCTTGACAACTAAATAAAAACAAGTTTAAAAATCTCTAATTAACTTAGTACGTTCATTGTGCTTCATCAAATCATTCTTAATTTTTAGGTTTAGGGTATAAGATTTTCAACCTAAAGACTAATTATGACCAAACGAGGGTTTAAGTTTTTCAATTTTTAATTTTGCAATTCACCTTAATCGTCTCATCTATCCTCCTGACTAGAAGTTTGGTTTCAAACCCCGGGATGCACATGAGAACATATTTACAAGCTTTATCACTAAGCCGAAAAAGTTAAGTCACTTGAACTAAAAGCTCGATCTCATACCACAAACGAGGTAATATTACCTTGGCTTTGAAGAAATCATTTGAGTCGAGCTTGACCGTATACGAGCTTTATTCGAGATTGAGCCGAGTTTGAATTTAAGTAATAGGATTCGAACGGAACTTAAGGATTTTGATATCGGCTTAGCTCGACTTGTTTACACCCACGTGAGAAAGTCAAGAAGAATCATAACTTCTGACACGCCCCGACCCTGATATTCCCCGAATACCAGGATAGACACGTGTTGGCCGACACCCGAGGGTGACGAAAGCCATTAATTGATACAAAAGCTAGGAATAAGAAATAAATATGGGTTATGAATCTAAAAACAATAAATTAACAATTTAGGAACGTGTTCAGAGCATATAACTAAACCTAGTCACTAACAAGAACTAAGATAAGATTGAATGAACAAAGGAGTGGGTCCTACCCCGTGAGGACTCGAAGATGCCACTGCGGAAGTGCCTTGATGCCGGGGTTATGTGCCTTCATCCTAAGTCCTGAATGGGGGCGCAAAACAAGGGTGAGTGGACCAAGTTTATATACATACATAGTACGAAAATAGTTATGAACATACTAACCCCCACAGTTAAGATAATGAAAACTACTAAATACTAAGTGATAGGTTTCTCAAATCCTCTAGCATGCCATAAAAACAATTCATATATCTCTCTGCAAATCAATCTCATAAAATCATATCAGAAATCATATCAGAAATCGTATCAGGAAGCATAACACAAGTTGTGCTGCTAGTGAGTGCACTGAATAATAATACTCCCGGCCCAATGCCTGCACCTCAGTCTCTGTGCCCGTAGCCAGAGATATCTCCCTCCCGGCCCAATGCCTGTCTCCGTGTCCCTCAGCCTTTCGCTAGGGATTATTTCTCCCGGCCTCAATGCCAACACCAGATCCTCGCCCCAGGCGGCATAGTGTTCACTAGGTACGCACAAAACATAATCCATCTCTAAAATACAACTTCGTAGCATAAATTCATCGATCCTCTATACTACAAAGAGGTGTTCGAAAGTCATTTGAAACACATTCTTAGCATCCTATCGTCATCGATCAGATAGTCTACCAGAATGAGGGTTATATAGAAAATATGATATAATGAAAATAGTTTAAAATATTTATATATCAATCATAATTAAATCATCATGCTTCCTGTAAGGTATTTCTCAAATTAATAATTCTGCAAGGCATGCTATTAAATTATGCAATTCTATCAATAAAACATGCAATTTTCGAAGGTGGTCCACTCACAGATACTCCGTCAAAAGCTGCGCCACTAGCGAAGACAGAAACGTTGCGATAAGTGTCCCTAAGTACAAGAACGTACAGTTAATCAAAACTACCCAACAATTATAATTCTAGGAAATGGAAATGGGCCTTGGATTTGGATAGGTTAGGATCAAGAGGTGGTTTGGGCTTGAGCCCAACCCATACTTATCAACACACACACACATGCAAAGCATGCACTGCTCACACACACTTGCATATACATACATATATATATATATATATATATATATATATATATATATATATATATATATATATAAACACACACACAGAGGCAACATGCATATATATATATATATAGATACATACATATAAACACACACGCATGCACAGCATGCATATATATATATATAAGCACACACACGCACAGCATCATGCATATATATATAATCACACACACGCACAGCATCATATATATATATATATACGTATATAAACACACAGACACAGCAAGCATACACGGCATGCACATCATTCTCACACACACACACCACACACTCACAGTACCACCAACAAATAGCAAGGTAAAATAACTACCTGGGTTTAGGTTCGAAGGGATCCGCGCAATCCACAGCAACAAACTCGCCGGAGTTCGTTGTCGGAACCGGGTTCTTGGCATAGAAAAGAGATAAGGTCAAAACCCTCGATTTTGACCACAAAACCAACACAACAGTGTGTAAAATAGCATGATTAAACCCATAAATTTGAAGAAGGAACACACTTCTCACCTGGGTTCGAGTTTTAGAGCTTTGAAGCTCTCAGCTTCAATGGCAGAAAAGTGCACAGTGCTCTGATGGCGCATGCAAGGGTACCATTGAGTTCGTTAGGTCTCAAGGAATCCAAATATATGGTTTTTGGGGTTTGATTTGTGTAGGAAGTGAGGTGAAAGTTAGAGAGAAGCTCTCGGAGCTTAGAGAGAGTGTGAGTTCCTGAGAGTTAGAGAGAGAGAGTGTTGGTTTCGGATATTAGAGGGAAAGAGAGACTGGAACCAAGATAGGTGTATAAAAATAATAAGGTGGGTCCCACGACTCACTATTTAATATAAAAAAATAATAAAAAAAACAAGTTTTTAAATAGAAATGGGTGGGGTGTTACAACTACAATAGTTAAACCGAAAATATTGGAGCAATAATGTTTATTGAACTTTGGCCTAATTGGAGTTTTGGTTCTTGAACTAAAAATTCATTATCCCTAAACTTGTTATAATTGTTAAACCGAGAAACTTGGAGCAATGGTTCTTGATCCTTGCCGAATTTGAGTTTTGGTCCATAAACTAAAAATCGGTGACTATTGATCCTGAACTTTATAAGTATTTCCATTTAAAATAAAGAGTTTTAAAAGGATTAAAAAATTAAATGAAAGTTTCAACGGAGTTAATAAAAAAAAATTATTATTCCACATTATAAAAAAATTCACTGATCAATGCTCACGAATTTTTAATTCACACAAGAAGGCTCCAATTATCTCTAACCTATAAATGGTTCGCGTGTAATATACTTCAGCCGTTGGATGTTATAATCCAACGGTTTCTGTCACTCGCGCTCACCGGCGCCCACAAGATAGGCACTTTCAGTCAGCTCTTTGGTTTTCCAGTGAGGGAAGAAGAAAAGGCGCCACTGAAGTAAATTCCCAATGTTGTCCTCAACGGCTAGGCCGAAGCAATTCGCTCTAGGTTCCCACGCAGTTTCAAAGCTCAGAGCTTTCCATGCTTTCTCCCAGAAAAATCCCAATCCGAATCTCGGAGCCGACGGCGCCAAAAGCATCGCTCGTGAAAATCCACAAGCCTCCGGTACGTAACTTTCTGTGGGCCTTTTTCGAGATTGAAGTTTTGATTTTGGTGCACGATTAGGCTTTTTTGAGGGGGATGAACTGTTGAAATTTGGGAAATTATGGCAGTTTCTCTGTGTCTCTCCGTTTTGAGATTAAAGTTTTGATTTTTGGGCACATTTCAAACTGTTAACATTTGGGGGATTCAGGTTGAAATTTGTGTGTTTTCTTTCACTGTTTTGTTTTGCTTGAGATTAAATTTTTTATTTTGGGTACTGTGTGTTTGTTTTCGAAACTCGGTCACTTGGTCCCTCAGAAACTCATGATTTTTTAGGTGAGGGACCCAACCCAAGTGCTGAGTTTTGAAGACTTAAGAGACCATTTGCGATAAAACCTGCTAAACTGTTGAAATTTGGGAACTGCAGGTTCAGAAATGGAGAAGAGCATATATGCAATTCTGACCATTGATCGTTGGGTGTCACTGAACCACATGGAGTATAGGATGGCTTCTCTCAGACCAGTTCATGGAAAGCTGGCTTTGAAGTTTCTAAATTGGGTCATCGAACAATCTGGTTTGGAACTCAACCATTTGACTCATATACTTTCTGTCACAACCCATATACTTGTTCGAGCTAGAATGTATGATTCTGCCAAATCAGTTTTGGGGCATTTGTTGCAAATGGATTTTGGCCCGAAATCTGTTTTCAGTGCTCTAATGGACACCTACCCGCTTTGCAATTCAAACCCTTCGGTTTTTGACCTTCTAATTAGAGTATATTTGAGGGAAGGAATGGCTGGTTGTGCTGTAGAGGCTTCCTATTTGATGGGTTTGAGGGGATTTAGACCGTCTACTTGTACTTGTAATATGATCCTAGCTTTGTTGGCAAAGGACCAGAAAGCAGCATCAGTATGGTCTTTTTTCAAAGAAATGCTTGCTCAGAAGGTATGTCCTGATGTTGCTACTTTTAATATATTGATTGGTGTTTTATGTGCGGAAGGGAAGCTTAAGAGAGCTAGTTATCTTTTGAGAAAGATGGAAAAGAGTGGCTATGCTCCGAACACAGTTACTTATAACACTTTGCTCAATTGGTACTGCAAAAAGGGGAGGTATAAAGCAGCCTTTGAGCTTATTGATCATATGGGTTCAAAGGGTATAGAAGCAGATGTGTGTACATATAACATGCTTATTGGCGATTTATGTAGAAATAATAGAAGTGCAAAAAGTTATCTGCTGTTGAAGAAAATGAGAAGGAAGAAGTTATCTCCAAATGAGGTTACTTACAATACTCTTATTAACGGGTTTGTTAAGGAGGGGAAAATTGATGTTGCTACCAGGGTTTTTGACGAGATGTCTAGGTTTAATCTATCACCAAATTCTGTTACTTTCAATGCTTTGATTAATGGCCTCTCTCAAAATGGTAAGCTTGACGAAGCTTTCAGACTTTTCGACATGATGGAAGCAACGGGAATAAGACCTACTGAAGTCAGCTATGGGGCTCTTTTGAATGGGCTGTGTAAGCATGCCAAGTTTGATTTAGCAAGAAGTGTTATTGAGAAATTGCGGATGGATGGGATTGCTGTTAGTTGTATTATGTATACAGAGATCATGGATGGGTTATGCAAAAATGGGTTGCTTGATGAAGCTATGAAATTCTTTAATATGATGGTCCAGGATGGCGTGAATCCCGATATTGTAGCATTTTCAGTGCTCATAAATGGACTTTGCAGAGCTGGGAAGATGAAACATGCGAAGGAGATGGTATGTAAAATCTATAAAGCTGGCCTTTCACCGAATAGAATAATATATTCTACTTTAATCTATAACTCTTGCAAGATGGGTAACATAGCGGAAGCATGTAACATTTATGCAGCTATGAACTGCACCGGTCATGGTGCTGACCATTTCACATGTAATCTATTGGTTGGTTCCCTTTGTGAAGCTGGAAAGCTGGGAGTGGCAGAAGATTTCATGTGTCATATGAGCAGTATCGGTCTTGATCCCAATTCTGTTACTTTCGATTGTCTAATAAATGGCTACGGAAGCATGGGAAATGGATTGAAAGCACTCTCTATATTTGATGAAATGATTAAATCAGGGCATCATCCAAGCCCATTCACATATGGAAGTATACTGAAAGGGCTATGCAAGGGTGGAAATTTGGGGGAGGCAAAGAAATTTTTGAAGAAACTCCACGGCATTCCATATGCTGTTGATACTGTTGTGTACAATACAATACTGCATGAGACATGTAAATCTGGAAATCTGCATGAGGCTGTTTCCCTTCTTGATGAGATAGTTGAGAATAACGTTCTGCCTGATAATTATACGTATGGTAGCCTTCTTGCTGGGTTATGTTGGAAGGGAAAAATTGTTGCTGCCATCCTGTTGTTCGGGAAAGTGATGGAAAAGGTGACTCTCTCACAAAGTGCAACGATGTATACCTGTCTAGTTGATGGCCTTTTCAAGACCGGCCAGTCAAAGGCTGCTTCATATCTCTTTGAAGAGATGGAAAACAAAGGTTTATACTCAGATACTATTGCTTGCAATGTAATGATAGATGGATACTCAAGGATGGGAAAAATGACGAAGGCAAAAGAACTCTTTTCAACTATGGGGAGCCAAAGATTGCCCCCTAATTTGGATACATATAATATTCTCTTGCATGGATACTCGAAAAACCGGGACCTCTTGACATGCTCTGGTTTATACAAGAAAATGATCCGGGCTGGATTATATCCTGATAAATTGACATTCCACTCTCTTATTCAGGGATTATGTGAGTCTGGTATGTTGGATATTGGCCGCAAAATGTTGAATAAGATGATAATGGAAGGTGCTGCAGCTGATCAGTTAACATTTAACATGCTTATTAGAAAGTTTTCTGAGACGGGTAAGGTGGGGATGGCCTGTGATCTTGTTGGGGTCATGGATATGTTAGGAGTTTCTGCTAATATAGAAACCCATGGCGCAATCTTGAATGGACTATTTAGATGCTCGAATTTCCAAGCATCCTGTGTTCTTCTTTATGAAATGTTGGCCAAAGGTTTCGCTCCTGAGCATACACATTATATCACCCTAATTAATGGTATGTGTAGAGTGGGAGATATACAAGGAGCATTCGAGCTAAAAGATCAGATGGGAGCTCTTGGTGTCACTTCACGTGACATTGCTGAGAGTGCTATGGTTAGAGGGCTTGCAAAATGTGGGAAGATTGAAGACGCCATGCTTGTTTTTGATCACATGCTTCGGATGAAACTCATTCCAACGACTGCTACTTTTACTACTTTGATGCACATGTTCTGTAAAGAAGCCAACCTTGAAGAGGCTCTAAAACTGAGGGGTGTAATGGAACGTTGTGGTCTGAAGCTTGATGTTCCAGTGTTTAATGTTCTGATTTCAGGCCTTTGTGCTAATGGCGATGTTGTGGCTGCATTTGCGCTTTATAAGGAGATGAAACAAAGAGGGCTGCTGCCCAACGTGACAACATATACTCTGCTCATTGGTGCTGTTTCTGCCGAAAATAATCTTATCGAAGGTGAACAACTTTTGGAAGATTTATGTGAAAGGGGATTGATATCTGGAAATTGGGATGGAAATGCCCTAACGCTACATGAGGTTTTGATGATTTCAATGCAAAAACTCAATTCTTTGAGGCGCATAAAAGGAACTAATACTAAGACGTGTAGTGAATCAACATAAGTTAATTGGGAGTTGTGACTTCGGCGGGCTCTCATTACTTAACCAAGTTTTGATGTATACCTTTCTACTGGAGGTCTGGTGGTCTTGAGGGAGATGGAAATCCAATGGGCTCTCTCTCTCTCTCTCTATCTTTCTTTATCGATGGGAGATGAGTGCGATGGCTGTCATCACTTGCCCAAGCTATGATACAACATGACCTTCTGAGGTATGCTGCATTCTTCAATTCCTTTTTCTTTATTTTTTTATTTCACCTTATTAACATATATTCTGGTTATTATATTTATACCATAATGTATTTTCTGCTACTTGGGTGAAATGCAGTCTACCTAATGCTTGGATGCCATGTTTCTGGATATGATATTTGCTCAGCCAAAAATGTATCACGCTACACGCTATGTAAGTTCCAACTTTTGCTTACGTGCATTTACAAGCCCTTGTTTTCTTTCATGATCAAGGCCGTACGAGGTTCAGTTTCCCATTTTAACACCAATATTCTGTTAACACTCTTTTAAGTAGCAGAGGCTACTTTCTGGCAACAGTTGCCTGAACGCCGAAGATGGTCTCCTATAATGTATAAGGTTCGCTGATAGGTAATACCGTACTATGCCATTATCTGGTTTAGTTACTTCTTTCTTTCATATCGGTGTCTGAATATTTCATTTTTGTGCTGCAACTATTACAGAGAGGGGTCTCTTGGTCTCCGCAAATGCGCAAGAGTTTCCGAGCACTGTCATTCAGCTAGCTGTAAGTTGTGTTTTGCCTGAAATACATTTCTGGAAACCTTTCCATAATCCTCTAAACTTTCTCGTTTTGTATCAAATCTAAATTCTGCGTTTTTTTTCTTTTCGAGTGAGCGAATATAATCCATCCCGGCGCCATGAATACCCAGATTTTTTCGGAAGACACATAACATGGCAACAAAGGTGGAGGGAAACAGATCTTTGGTAGAGAAGGGAGTTGGCTACTGAGGAGGGAACCAAATGAAGAGAATGGGGTGTCTCTGAATCTGCATCTCCATGTATTTTGGGGTTCTATATTTGCAACATATAATGCCATGCTAATTGCATGGCAGACGGAATATAGCAAAATTTACATGGGAAAATTGCATTTGTTGACTGTGTAATTTATAATATGCCCTATTATTTTTGTTTGTATTTATGCTTTCTCTTTGTCTCTCAGATTCCTCTAGGCTCAGGGATTTTAATTTAATTTAAAGGAAAACTAATGAAAATGGCTTGAAAACTTTGAGTTTTAATGATAAGGACAAAATAAAGTGTAAAGTGAATAGTACCATGATTGACTTTTTAGTGTAAAAATGTGGCTTTTCGTTAAAGTGAACAGTACCGGGAGCTTTTCGTTAAAGTTCCCTTAATTTAATTTAGGTTTTTTAGCAAAAATGATATTGAGATTGGCTTAGCTCCGCACTTTGGTTACTGACAATGAAAATCGATAGAAATGGTTCTTGAGTTTGTCTATTGTAAATCATTTTGGTTATTCTGTGAAAAATATGTCTATATCAAAATTATTCACATTGAACAAACTCAAGAACATTTCTACCGATTTTCGTTGTTAGAGACCAAAGTGAATAGTTATATCAATCTCAAAGATCATTTTGTATAAAAAATCTTTAATTTATTTTTTTTCTCCCAAAATCTTGAAGTTTTGAAATCGAGATTTTATGTGATATAGGATGACTCTAAAACCCATATTGTTGCTAGGGGTTAGTCGCTCACGTAATTAAGAGCATTTACTCTAAATTTAAGCTTTGCGTTTGAATTTTCTCACATTATTGTTTGTATCAAAGGAACCGATAGTGTTAAATTTTGTAAGGATATAGTTTAGTGAAGCCATATACAATTCTAGCATACAATTTACCATTTCTAACTCACGATCTAAATCGAGTGTTTACAATTTTCGTATCTTATCTCTACGTCACTTGAATTAGATCTCGTGGACTCTTATCGACCTTTATTGAAACACAAATGTTAACTGATAGAAGTTTGTCATCGCAAATAAAATAATACATTTTTCTTTCATTAATGGAAACAAAAACTTTGATCTAAACTAATTGACGATTAATTAGTGATTAATTAATTAATTAATTTGATGGCAAGTGACAAGACATGGAGACGCCCAACCGTTTTGAAATTTTAGAGACATGGAATGCCAGCAAGGCAATGTGCTGTTTGCTTCCGTGTAACCCAACAGCTACTCCTTTACTTCCTCACTCCGTCTGCCAGCTCACCATCCCGTTCCATTATTACTTTTCTTTTGGATTAAATTACACAAATGCCTCTAGATTATTATTATTAAACAAAACAACAACAAAATCTTTTCTTATCAAGTGAGGCCGTCTGTACGAATTGTAAAACGTCATGTTTATACCATATTTAGGGTTTTGTATTTAAATCTCGTACAAATACTCAGGGAATTTAAATGTAATTATGTGGTAAAGGAAGATGCAAATATGTAATAAGTGAGGAGTCCTTATTCTATAAAATGACCCATCACCCTCACAATTAGAGGAGGCCATTTCCTAAGGCTCCTCACCCTCTCAAAGCTCTCACTCTCAGAGCCCTCTCTCTCCCTCAGATAAATACATAATCAGTGTAGACGTAGCCCAAATTTTGGGGTGAACCACGATACATCTTGTGTTGTTTACATTACTTGCAGATTCACGATCGGATTTACGTTGTTCCAAGACCTCCGGTTTTGTGCATTAACACGTCATTATGCTCAATTTTATGGTAAGTTTTATGTGACTCGTCTGCTCCAAGTACTCTGTGTCTTAACTGATTTGTAATTTAAATTTGTGAAGATTGGTACATTCACATAAAAACATCGGGCTTAGGGAAATATTTGCTTATGTTTGGGTGACAGACACACCTAATAGTAGGAGAGCAACTTGTACAGCACATGTACACTGTACACCACAACAATGACGTCTCGTAAATACAAAGTCACATGGAAAGAAAACTAGTATACGTTTTTTGTTACATTTACACATGTCCTCATAATAAAAGAGGTAGTGTTCGTACAATTTTTCTGTAAAATGATTTTTACACACGTTTTAATCTTCTCATATGCCTCTTCTTTATGTCTGACCATTAGACTAAATAAGTCAAATAAACTAACAGCCAAAATTAAATATAAGTATGTAATAGTGTATATGATTTCTCCTCTGTTTTTTTTTCAATTTTTTCAACCTGCCTTCCTTTCAATTTTATTCCAAACGCACAAATCACGTCAGGGCTGACGCCTACTTAACGGCGATGCGGTCACCTTTCCGTTCACGTCAACAAAATAACGCCGTTCCTCCAAGAAATAAAAACCGTTAAAGCCTCTCATTTTCTTCCCAGATTTCACATCAATTATAGGCCCATTTCTGGCCCAACCTCTTCTCTCTCTCTCTCTCTCTCTCTCTCTCGCTCTGCTTTCCGAGTCATTTCATTTTCCCGGAAAATCAAAAAGATCTTTCCTTTTGATCGAATTCATGTCGGTACGTAATCGTTTTCGTCTCTTTCTTCAATCCGAATATAAATTCTTAATCTTTGTATGCCTTTATTTGTTTTTGTTTATCTTTAATCTCTGCGATGCTTAATTTGCTGGATTTCTGATTGGATTGAGCTCTAATTCATAGATTTGTTCGTTAATCTGTATTAATCTGATTGTAATTATCTAAGATGCATTTGTTTTACATAAATTTCTGAGCAAAATTTATGTTTTTTATTTAAATTTTTATGTTTTATCATTATGTTAAAGTAAATACATACTTGATGCAAAATTTGAATTTTCCAGGGGAGCAGATTCTGATTCTTCAGTTTGGTTTTTAGTTTTGTTTAATTAGGAATATATTGAAAATTAAATGAACAGAAAAGGGTAGTGAGAAAATAACAAGTTTCGTTTGTGTTTTTACAAAATTAATAAGTTGAAATTTTGGAGAGTATATTGCTTTTCGGAGCAGGTATTGTTTCGAGAGTGTGAATCCCATGTCGTGGAATTAAAGCGATGATTAAATAGTTTGAGTGATCTCGGGCATCTCCACCACCGTTTCCAATTGGTTTTGGGTTGGATGCTCGAATTGTTATAGACTTATAGGTATTGTTGGTTTTTTTTATTGTCGTTCATTGTTTGAGTGGGGAATATAATCTTTGTACAAATTGCTTCCTGATGATGGTTATCTCTGGTTTCTGTATTTTACTTTTAATGATTAGTATATTAAGGGCATTGTGTACTTCCTAAGTTCTCATGTCATGTTCATCTGTATATGTGGTTCTGTATGTATGCGTGTGTTCTTCATCCCGACTTTGAATGTGTAAACTATCTGGACAAAGAGGTTTTGTTGTAATTGCCTTGCCCAAACCAAGTATTTCATCAAGGGCTAAATAGATTTCTTTTAACTGGGTTCTTATGTCCACGGGGAAGGTTAGAGTTCCTTTTCCTTTTTCACGTTTCAATCAATTGGTGTATCTTTGGAGTTTTTATTAGTATGATTATGGTGGGTTGAACTTCTGTGCTAGGTGTGCTTCCTGAAAATGACTGAGTTATGTTGTCTAAAGTTGTGTGTCCAAATTTAACAATCAGTTGCCTTTTCTGAGTTTTTCCTTCCTGTCTGATTTTTATTTTCCACCTTTTTTCATAGGATATTAGCTCCATGGTATGCTGGTTGCTTCTTGTTTGTATATTCTTGTGTTTTTCCTTTACAATGAACTCAGTGAAATGTTACTATGAATTGGAGTATTTCACAACTTCACGTTGTCTTCGAGTGATTCCTAATCCTATCACAGTGTTCAGGAGAGGAAATCGCTCTTATTTTTGTAGTCTAGGATTATCCTAAGAGATGCCGCACTGAGTAGGAGTTGGGAATTGAACTCAGTGTTGCACAAACTTACTCCCAAGAGAAAGTTTGTAAGCACTTATATTTTGACTCAGATCCTTACCGAAGTTTTTTTGGAAAGTTGAAACCATATAGCACTAGCCCAAGGTTGAGATCAGGTTAGAATTATTAGATTGGTGTTCAGCATGTAAATACTAGTGGTATGATATTGGTATGCATTCTTAGGTATATGGGGCCATTACCTGTAAGTTTGGTAGATATGGACACCCTTTTCCGGGAATTGATTTCAATGGTGTTTGATCCTATTGAAGGATCATTTGCATTTTGCAGTCTAGAAAACCAGGGGAGCTTGACATTGGGTTTCTGGTTGTCTGTCCTCTGTGATTAATGCAATTCATCTTGGTGTGGGGTATTTGATTGATGACAACCTAAATAGGTTCGAGATGTAACAGAGTGCTTGTCTATCCTTTTGTCTTTGTAGTTGAGAGAATATGTTATTGCTTTAACAATGAGAATATTTTACTGATTTCTAACAGGAAAAAGGCAGGCCACTCCCAAAATTTGGTGAATGGGACGTCAATGATCCTGCTTCAGCTGAGGGGTTTACTGTGATCTTTAACAAGGCTAGGGATGAGAAGAAGACAGGTGGAAAACCCGAGTCACCAGGAAAGGCTGATCCTAATATCAGGCAGGGAGGAGGAGTGGATCCTGGCACTGGCCGGCCTTCATCTGTAAGATTCTTTCTCATAACTGTTGACTCGTTTCTTTCTCTGGTGATTTGATAAATAATGAGTTAGCCAATAGCAGTTCATTCTTTTGCCTACTAGATGGCGGTTTTCATAGTAGTAAGTTTTTGCTTTCCAAGTGATGGTAGTACAATATACAACTATATCTAACGCTGCCTTACCTGTCAAACTTAGCATACCATTTGATGTTAAAATAAATGCAACCGACTTTTATAGAACTCTAGTTAGGAGAAGGGCAAAAAGGCTTTACATCTAATATTAGTACCAAGATATTTGAAAAGTAAAATAAAAGAAGATGATTCGGATGTTTTATCTGCATTGTTTGATTGCTCCATGCGAGTGGAATTGGCATACGAAGTCACAAACACTCTGGTTGTCTTCTTTTAGACAGATGTAGTCTAATAGATGCAGTTTGTTTCATTGTGAATAATTGAAATAACTAGTGGCCCTGAAAGTATTCTCTCTTCTTGTCAATTGATGATTGCGTGATCTTTTCGTTTCTATGTTTTTGAGTATCCGTTGTGTTTCCAGTCAGTAGAATAATAGAAAGAAACAATTGACCGGTGGGTCATTAGTTATGCTGCTGAAAGTTGATCTAGTTTGCTTGATTTGATTTCTTGGTGCACAGAAAAAATGGTTTTGCTGCCTTCATCAACCACAGACCGAGTCTTGACAATGTTGTTCTCTGCGCAAGTGCTCCGATGGAGGAGCACGGTGTTCTGTAACTTGCTCCACCATATTTTTCCAAAGAAGATAGGGAGCTGTATAGCAATGTTGGATGGAATTACCATGTCGCGTAAAAAAACAAAAAAACTTTGTGATGGGAGGAGTAAAGAATGACAAATACTTATTGTATCTATATTGTCCGTCTGATCTGTTTCTTCGTCTTATCTTTGCTTATGACATTCTTTTCCTTCTTCCCTAATTGTATTATCAAACCACTCTTTGTGTGAAATTATTTTGTTCTCGATTTCGAATTCCGAAAACCTTTATCTTCTTTTCCATGACGTTCGTATGTAGTTTTGGTAAATAAATTCTACTTTTCGATGAAAAGAAGACAAAGGGAAATGATTTCTTGCTAGATTTGAATGGATGAGCAATACTGGAGGAGTCATTACGCGTTGCCTGCAAATCACAGTTTAACGCATGCCCAAAAACTCGTGTTCTCAAAACGAGTTATTTCTGTATGTTTTAAACTGTGATTTATAGGCAAGGAAGAGGAATGACTCCTTGTAGGGAAAGAGCCAAATGTGTACGTTAATATATCAACCAAAATTATCGATCAATCGCCATTGCATATGAACGTGTATTCTTCACAAGTCACAAAGAACCACCAGGCACAAACGCACATAATTTCCGGTTACTCGTGTTCAACGATTCGCCGAGAAAGTAAAAAAAACATAAGCATGGAGTAACAATTGAAATGTAAAATTCTTCTACTGTGATAAACTGTCGTGGCTGTGTCAAGGTTAGACTCTAGTCATCCCAAGCTTCCGTTCAAAAAGGCGGCGAAGTAGGAAAACTTGGAGAAGACTGGCACCAACAAGGGCTGCTGATTCGAAGAAAACCTTATGGATCGCCCTCCGGCCCATTGCTTCGTTTGCTGCATCAACGAATGCAAGAAACAAATTATATCACGAAAAGACAGACAAAGACACTACGCTTAGACACTGCTAGCGAAAGATAATTGTTTATGCACACTACGGAATCAATACTAGTTCAATTGAGAAAGAGTAAATGCAAAAAGAATAGTCGTAGAGATGCCTGATTTGGATATAATCCTCAACGTGGTCAATAAAAAGGCGAACCCAAGCCAACAAGGTTCCCGGCTTTGCAAGGTCACCCTTAACGTAATCAATCATCAAGGTATTTAGAGTTGAGGAAATACCTATTGCCTGTCGTTCGGTCTGAGCCTCTAGCCAATGCTGCTCAAATTGAATGTTATAAAGAGCCTCCTCTAACTTTGATACCTGTTCTAACAACGGATTAAAGTGCTCTGGACGCACGCACAAAACTACCATAAGTTGTCGTCCTTATTTTAACAAGGATCTCGCTAGTGAAAATGTAATCAAAGAAATCTAAAGGGTAAAATGGCACGTATCAATCACTCACCATCTTTTGCGTGTTGATCATAGTACGTAAAATGGCTAACATGTATATCGAAATCTATGGTTTCATGATAAGGAGACTTGTTAGTGAAGCAAAACTGATGGATTCCCTTGTGATGAGCGACAAAGTCATACTTCTCGGTAGTCTTGTCACGAAAATCATGAATCTTGTCACCGGAAGGCCCCTTCACCTGAAAATTTCAACGGCATTGTATGATCACTACGATCCATCATCCATATACATACACGAACACATGGTTTCTGTTTAGCTATGTACGCTATGAGCTATCTTATCAATTTGGCCAGTAAATGCAGAAGATTATAGCGCAGTTAAAAACATATATTGTAAATTATCAACCCGAATCAGACAACAAACAAGGAGCTTACCATGAGATCAACACCGTCTTGAGTATGATGCCACGACGCATCAACCTTAATAACAACGAAAGAAATGTGGACGGTATCTCCTTCGTATTGAACATTATGAGAGAAGCACTCTTCTCTGTCAATCACAAATCTGATTCCAAAAGCTGCTTCTAGGCTCAACAAAAATGTCAGCAGCAAAACAGCAGCACAATTCGAAAACCCAACTTTCATCTGCAGATATAATAAAGGGTTGTTAAAATCTTTAAAAATATAAAATAAAACTACAGAAAATTCTAGCTCACAAATAATTACATACAAAATAGGAAACTTTCTGGTTTCCTTCTCTTATAACTGAAAAATAAATACTACCCAGAAACTATTTTCCACCAGAAGAAATAGAGAAAAATTAAGAATTCTAATACCCCATTACAACTCCGCCTGTATAAGTTTATCACACTGGTCCCAAGCGCGGATAAAAGGGGAGGACATCAATTGGTCGACAACCGACATTCCATTTTCATCTCGAATCCCTATGAATACCCAGTACAACTCTTCCGCAAAGTAATTATAATCTGATTTAAAACAAAAGATTCTACTTTTTTCAAAAGATTGGCCGGAAAACAGATAAAAAGATTAAAACATGCGATACAATCAAAAGGTGCAATCACAACAAATAGATTCCATTCCATGTTCTGTTTGGCTGCCTAGAAAGTGAAAGAAAATTTAGAAATACCCTAATTAACGTAAAAAAAATAAGTTTTAAAATTTACGTCTACGTTCTTTTCTTTTGCATCAAAACAGAGTTACATAGGATCGAACAAAACGAGATTAATTATGGAAACTATGAAATTTGTAAAAAGAGGATTTACCTTGCAATGTTTGAACAATTTGATTAAGCCTGCAGAGGAAAAAAACTTAAATAAAATAAAATAAAATTTAATTGTCGGAGATAAACAGTAGGGAGGATGAAAGAGTTTTGTGTTTATTTATGTTTCATATCTCGACGAGGAATGCTTCGAACGTAACGAGACTGCTAGTACACCAAAAGCTTCAGTTTAGTACTTTTTGTCGTTTTATATTCGACATGTCGTTTTCCTTCTTTCTTAAACTTTTTTTTTTCAAAAGCTGCTTTAATTTTAATTTCTTAATAAAAAAAAATTTATGGTACTCCCAAGAACCATATAATTTGGATTAAATTTACCATTTCACCACAAATGTTTGAATCTTAATTTTCTTTCCACATGTCTTGTCTTATCTTCCGAATACCTTATATCATTATAATACATGCACAAACATTGCTACAATATTATAATAGATTTAGGGTTTGGATAATAGTTGTACGCATGCTAAAATTTATACCTACTATTGCATATGCACTAGCTATATATTGATACTAAATTCAATGCAGATGACTTACCGACTAACGTCTTAACATCTAGCTATTGTGCTTGAATATAGATAACATCTATATACATACAATGTCAGATTATTTAAAGGGAACTTTAACGAAAAGCTCTCGGTACTGTTCATTTTAACGAAAAATCACATTTTTACACTAAAAAGTCAATACTGGTACTATTCACCTTACCCCTTATTTTGTCTTTATTGTTAAAACTCAAAATTTTCAAACCATTTTCATTAGTTTTACTTTATTTAAAACCTCTTCACATGTTGCACCTAACTAGCAACATGGTGGCACAAATTGTAAATGGTTGAAACATTGTGGGTGATTTTCATCCTTTGATGGCTTCATATTTATAAACTGAGGCGCTGCAACGGTTTCATAATTTACTACGTACGGTTGGTTTAAGTGATAGATATCCATTAATTTTCCCAACCACAAATATACAGACAGCTGAGAAAGCTTAGGGAGCTAGCTGTAGCTAGTAAGCTGAGAAATGGAGAAGGAACCATTGTTTGAGACGAAGAGAGCCAAGGGAAGAGTTCTATATAGGGTTTTTGCAGCATCTATATTTGCAGGAATATGTTTAGTTTGGTTTTACAGAGCGAGTCACATACCAAAAGCAGGAGAAGATGGAAGGTTTGGTTGGATTGGACTTCTGGGTGCTGAGATATGGTTTGGATTTTACTGGCTCCTCACTCAGGCCTCCCGGTGGAACCCTGTGTATAGGCACACATTCAAAGATAGGCTTTCTCAAAGGTAAATCAATTACCTCATGTTAGTTTGTTAATTATCATTTTTATTCAACAACTGTAGTTCATAAGATTTGAATTGATGACGCATTGGAGTTACATGAACAGATATGAAAATGAGTTGCCGGGAGTGGATGTATTTGTGTGCACAGCGGACGCAACCATAGAGCCGCCGTTGATGGTGATAAACACGGTTTTATCAGTGATGGCTTATGATTACCCGCCGGAGAAGCTGAGCGTCTATCTGTCCGATGATGGCGGGTCGGAAATTACATACTATGCTCTCTTGGAGGCTGCTGAGTTTGCAAAGCAATGGATACCATATTGCAAGAGGTACAAAGTGGAGCCAAGGTCACCTGCTGCTTATTTTGTCTCAATATCTGCTGATGCAATTGTTGATCATCAGGCTAAAGATTTCTGGGCTATTAAGGTATTTTCAGTTTTTTTTGTGGTCAGGTCCGGAATTAGATCCCCTCAGGATCTAGGAGATCAATTTATATAACTATTCATCGAAAACCCAGTATAGGAATCCGAGAATGTAATTCCGTCAGGTCCAATCAAAAGATACGAAATACAAGTGGTCAACAATAGCTACATTTATGTTTTTGTTGGAAAGGTCAAAGGACCACAAAAGCCAATAATTTCGTTAATTATAGTATATGAATGATGTCATGGAGGCTGAGGATTCTGGACTCTTTTTGTAAGGATTTTTTAGAATTCTTTAATCACATTCGTTCATGGTATATTGTGTGGTCAATTTTTTTTTAAATACTGTTTATATTCAATTTTAAATAAAAAAAACTAACAATGATTTCTGACTACACGATGTACGATGAACAGATGTGATTGGAGGATCTAGCGAGGATCCTCCTTGGTCATGGAGGATGCATTTTCAATTGCTTGTTTGAAAAGAATTTTAATATAATTAAAAGCATTTAAGTAAAATTAATTTTTTGTTCCAAGAACTTATTGCAGAAAACATTTAAAGTACTTTTTCAAGATTCACTTAAATTTTTACTAAAAATTAATTTTAAAAACATTTTTACCAAAAACGTTTTCTATTATTTAAAAAGTATTTCTAAACGTGTACGTACATAATGAGTTTTGTATTAAATTCCATTCTTCTAAATTCATTTACTATTTATTTATCTTTTTATTGCATAAAATGAGCATAAAGGACACGTTAACTTAAACCTATATATAACCCTAATACAGTAAAGCTAGGATTTTATCTAAGGAAAACTAAAGAAAAGGGCTTGAAAACTTTGAGTTTTAACGATAATGACAAAATAAATGACAAAGTGAACAGTACTAGGATTGACTTTTTAGTGTAAAAATATGGTTTTTCGTTAAAGTGAACAGTACCGCAGACTTTTCGTTAAAACTCCCCCCATATCACCTCATCTCCTTTTCACCAAAAAAATCAACAAGTCATCAAGATCATCTTTAATTGTTATTTCAAATTTACTATGAGATTATGATAGTGTAATTTTCTATTAGTATTTCAATAATTTGCTAGCTTATTCATATCTGCCTTCTTACTGATGTGTTGTTATAGAAATTATACAAACACATTGAGAAAGAAATCGAAAATATAGTGAAGCTAGGCTGCGTTTCAGAAGAAGTCCGATCGAAACGTAAAGGCTTTTCTCAATGGGATTCATATTCATCTCGACGCGACCATGACACCATTCTTCAAGTATGAATTAATTTGATCTTTAGTTACATATATTGGTCAGAAATCAAAGAAAGAAAACCTAATTAACATTTATTTGAGTTCGGTGTATGAATCCAAAGATGGGAATTGATGCATGTATGTCAATTTTGAATTCTACACATTGAGAAGAAAAGAATTTGAGTTTTAATTTCCTTGAACTTTTCCAGATAGTAATCGATGGGAGAAACCAAAATGCAACAGACGTTGAAGGGTGTAGATTGCCAACGTTAGTGTATTTGGCTCGCGAGAAGAGACCCCAATATCATCATAACTTCAAAGCTGGCGCTATGAACGCACTGGTATATGGATCACCTTTACCGACCATCTCTCTCATACAAGTCGCCTCACGTACATAAGTGGATCCACCTTTATTAGATAGGTGGTAACAGCAGTATTAAAAACTCCAAAAGAAAATTTACAGTGTCAATTTTGTTTGCTATGTAATATCCTTAATTTTCATCTACATTTGCAGATTAGAGTATCATCAAACATCAGCAATGGGAAGTTGCTTCTTAATGTGGATTGTGATATGTATTCAAACAACTCCATGGCCATACGGGATTCACTTTGTTTCTTTATGGATGAAGAAAAAGGCCATGAGATTGCATATGTGCAGTTCCCACAAAACTTCGAAAACCTTACTAAGAACGAGCTATACGCTTCACTGAGAGTAATCAATGAGGTGAGGTTATATGTTAGTGGAATATTAGATTAGCTGAACTTTTTAGTTAAAGTTTTAAGTTAAATTTTACTCTAGCTAATTATCGATTACATATTTGGAATTATTTGGTTTCGTATATATATGGAAGGTGGAAGCCCATGGCGTGGATTCTTATGGAGGCCCTCTATATATTGGAAGCGGATGTTTTCACAGAAGAGATACTCTTTGTGGGAGGAAATTCAGCAAGGGATGTAAAAGTGATATGAAGTGGGAGAATAGAAAAGGAGAAGAACTTGGCATTCATGAACCGGAAGAAAGTTCGAAAAGCCTTGCAAGTTGTACATTTGAAGAGAACACTCAATGGGGAAAAGAGGTACGTATTTGTCCCTCTCTCACCAAATAGACTTTAGGGTCAAAAAAAGGTGTACCATGTAATCATTCTGACGTGGTACATTAACAAACCAAATGACACGTAATCATTGTATGTACAACCCATCTTCCTCAATTAAGTTCAAAATTTCGTGATAATTTTGACATAAACGATGATTACGAGCAATAGATTATTCCATTAATTATTGGTTTTTTAACTTTGTTCATGCAAAACTGTATTTGAGCTTAACGAGTGACATTAATATAATTCGTAGATGGGTCTGAAATATGGCTGTCCAGTAGAAGATATAATAACGGGGCTATCAATCCATTGCCGGGGATGGAAATCGGTGAATTGCAATCCAACAAGGAAAGCTTTCTTAGGGTTAGCTCCAACCACACTGCCTGATATGCTTGTGCAATATAAGAGATGGTCAGAAGGTAACCTCCAGATTTTGCTTTCAAAGTATAGTCCTGCATGGTATGCCTATGGAAAGACTAGTTTAGGACATCAACTTGGATATCTTCGATACTCCTTTTGGGCTGCAAATTGCTGGGCAACACTAGTTTACTCAATTCTTCCTTCACTTTACCTCCTTAGAGGCACATCCTTATTTCCGCAGGTATGGTTCTAAGTCCTTACTCTCATTAATTTGCCACAAAATTGCACAATGACATGTTTCTTATATACATTTGCAATTGTCCCTTATTTAATTACCAGAAACTAATTGATGGGGTGAGTAATCATGTCGGTCATTCCATGAATCTGTGACCCAAATTGACAATGTCGCTATATATCTTTACCTATTTGTTTCAAATAAAAAACCATGTGCAGACCAACTATGATTTTGAGGGCCTCATTTAACTTATGACCCCCAAAATCTCATAATCCACCTTACTTCTCAATGTTTCAAACGAAATCTGTTCAGGTTTTGAATATCAAGTTCATGGATGACACCATATGTACATGTATGCTTCTATCTATGCATTAGCTTGTCAGATTCGGATCACACGTTCAGACAAAAATTAACCTAACAGACTAAGTGAACAAACAGTTACTTTCCATATATTTATTTAGTATATGTTTTATGTCTAATGGGTTTTGGTTTGTGAATTTAGATCTCAAGCCCATGGTTCATACCATTTGCATATGTGATCATTGGAAAGTACACTTGGAGCTTTGCGGAGTTTTTGTGGTGTGGTGGCACAACTTTAGGTTGGTGGAACGAGCAGCGCATATGGCTTTACCAGAGAACAAGCTCCTATCTCTTTGCCTTCACTGACACCATTCTACACTCCTTTGGATATAGTGATTCAGCATTTGTAATAACCGCCAAGGTGGCTGATGAAGATGTGTCACAGCGGTACAAGAAAGAGATTATGGAATTCGGGGACTCTTCTCCAATGCTTACCCCATTGGCAACAATTGCATTGCTCAATTTGTATTGCTTTGCTGGGTTTGTTAAGGAAGCAATCAATCGGAAGGGCATAGCACAAGTTTATGATACATTGACTTTGCAAATTATGCTATGCGGGGCTCTGATTCTCATCAACCTACCCTTGTTCCAAGCACTTTACCTAAGGAAGGACAAGGGAAAGATTCCAGCCACCGTCACTTTTAAGTCAATGGCATGTGCTGTGATTGCTTGTACTTGTTTTAAATTTTCGTATTAAGGAACGGGAAACTCTTTAGATTCAACTCTCTCACACAAGGTGACTTTTGTGTGTGCTAAAAGCTTGTTTAAGATCAAAATAATGTTGTCTCTCTGTTTTAAATTAGTTATTGTATCATCTTCATATAAATTCTATTGTCAAAGGATTACCAGATCAGTGCTTGATCTTCTTCACAATATTATGAAAACCCCTATCAAAGTTTACCTCCTGCACAATGCATAATCTTTGTTTTGATCAGTATTACGCAACACAATCTGCACAACTAGCTCATGTCGTGCCCCTCTGACATATCCATGGTGACCGCCTAACTGCCTCATTCTTTTCAATCCTTTGGAATTTGGATCACACCATATTCTAAGTTCATCATTCGTGTGTAGTCCTTGATCATCGCATGGCTTCAATAATTCTGATAGCATTCTTGGCTTCAAAGGCACCAGAAAATGCTGGACTAGTAGCCACCACAAAGAGTAGCTAGTAGATGGCCCACTTAATGATTTCATAGCAGCTTAATATTTGTAATGTGTTTAAGGTAGATCATTAACTTGGTATCCCGGGATTGCACGCTGCGTATGTAGTCTTTCATAAGAACATATTGTAATACTATGGAAACAAACTCACACTTTTCAGAATAGCATAGGGATATTGCATGGAGCAAGAAAGAGGATGAAAAATCACATTTCTTTGCTTGAAGTAGGAATAAAATCACATAAACATAGGGTTTAGGATGTCATCTTAAGCCGAAATCCTCATGGACAATCGACGGTAGTGACAATTTTTAATTGTTCTAATAACAAATTTCTTTCAATACAAATACTGGAAACAAATACAAGCAGACACTGCAAATGCCATCGATTTAAAAGCTACAGAGCTTGGCATCTTTCCCTTGTCCTTCCTTAGGTAAAGGGCTTGGTATAATGGTAGGTTGAGAAGAATTAAAACCCCAGATAGAAGAATTTGCAAAGGCATTTTCTCGTAAGATTTCATTATGCCTTCTCCAAAGATTGCTTTGTTTAAAAACCCAAGGAAGCAGTACAGATTGAGAATTGCTAGTGTTGCAAGTATGGTAAACATTGGTGACGAATCTCCAAATTCCATAACCTCTTTCTTGAATCGTTCTGACACATCTTCGTCATCCACCTTAGATGTTATCATGAATGATGTATCAGAATATCCAAGCGAGTTTAAAATGGTGTCAATGAAGGCAAATAGGTAGGGACTTGTTCTCTTGTAAAGCCAAATTCGTTGATCGTTCCACCAACCTAAGATTGTGCCACCACACCACAAAAACTCAACAAAACTCCAAGTGTACTTCGAAACTATCACGTATGCAAATGGTATGAGCCAAGGGCTCCAGACCTAAATCCAGAAAGCAAAACCCTTATTATTATAAACATTGAGTAAGTTGCAAAAAAAAATATGTATTTTGTGACACAAAAACAGTACCTGTGGAAATAAGGAAATGCCTTTGAGGAGGTAAAGGGAAGGGACAATCGAATAAAATAACGTTGCCAAGGAATTCGAACACCAGAAGCCGTAGCAACAATATCCAAGTTGAAGACCAAAGCTAATTTTTCCATGTGCATACCATGCAGGGCTGTATTTAGAAAGCAAAATCTGGAAATTGCCTTCTGTCCATCTCTTATGCTGCACAAGCGTGAGTTAGCGTAGTTGGGGCTACTCCTAAGAAAGCTTTCCTTGTGGGATTGCAATACACTGATTTCCAACCGCGGCATTGGATTGATAGCCCTGTGATCACATCTTCTACCGGACATCCGTATTTCAATCCCATCTACAAATTATAGACATTCATCAAGCTCAAATTAGTGTGCAGTTGTGTGTGTGTGTGTGTGTGTGAGAGAGAGAGAGAGAGAGAGAGAGAGAGACCTCTTTTCCCCATTGAGTGTTCTCTTCAAATGTACAGCTTGCAAGACTTCTTGAATTTTCTTCTAATTCATGAATTCTACTTTCTTCTCTTTGTCCACTGAACTCCCATTTCATATCAATCTTGGATCCCTTGATAAACTTTATCCCACATAGAGTCTCTCTTCTGTGAAAACATCCACTTCCGACATATAGAGTGCCGCCATAACCATCCAAGCCATGGAATTCCACCTTCAATCCCCACTCCAACATGTCAACTATAAAGTTCAATATAATTTAACATGAAACTCCAATTAAAATAAGTTCAATTCTACAATCATGTAACTCCATTAACATCTACTCACCTCGCAGATTACGAGTAAAGAATTGCTATACAAGTCATTCTTAGTTATATTTTCAAAATTCTGTGGGAACTGTACGAAGGCAACCTCTTGGCCTTCTTTTTCATCCATGAAGAAACAAAGCGCATCAAGTATGGCCATGGAGTTGTTCGAATACATATCGCAGTCTACATTAAGAATGACCTGCCCATTGCTAATGTTTGAAGACACCCTAATCTGCATTAATATTAAGGATCACAGAACAAACAGTGAATGATTATTACATCAATAAACACTCTAAATTTGATGGTTTTGGAAGCACCATTTTTGGTCTCGAAGTGCGATCCCTAACCAACAAGGCTCCCTGATTTTGCGAAGGTCGGGTGAGAACGTCTATCGTACACAGCCTCAACCTTTTTAGTCTTTCTTGTAAAAAAAAAAATTCACCGAATAGATGTAAGTTTATAATTACCAGAGCATTCATAGCGCCAGCTTTGAAGTTATGGTGATGTTGAGGCCTTTTCTCCCGAGCTAAATACACTAAAGTTGGCAATACACACCCTTCAACATCTCCTGAATTAGGGTTCCTCCCATCAATTAGAATCTGGAAAAAGCATTTAATTAGTACACATCAAATTTTTCTTTCCACTATTTTACTATGATTTGAGAAAAAACATGGAGTACTTGGACATAAAGGAAAACTTAGCACAAAATCGAGCGCATTGGCTTTCTAGAACATCCATTTAATAGAATAAGGATTTGTTGTTGTTGTAGTTGTTTACCATGACTCTATGACCATGAGTTGCATTTTTTTCTTTAAAAGAGATCATTTAAGTATCAAATTAGTTTCATACGTACTTGAAGAATGGTGTCATGGTCACGTCTAGATGAATTTGGATCCCACTGAGAAAAGCCTTTGCATTTTGATCGTACTTCTTCTGAAATCCTGCCTACCTTCACTGCATTTTGAATTTGATTCTCCATTTCTTTGTATGATTTCTGTAGCAAAAATTTCAGAAAACAGGTATCAGTGAACTAAACAATATAAATTGGGCTGGACTGCCCAAACTTATTTTATTACCGTTAATATTTACTTTGAAAAGTGGACATCTTCATTGCTGTTTTCATAACTTATCTATAACAACGATGTCCTAAGCCCATTACTATGCTCAGCTAATTGTTTTGGTGATATATTTTCTTAAAGAAATTATTATTGATACTTTAAAAATAAATTATACACTTTAAACTTCTTAGGCGTGGACGATTAGACTATGGGAGTGTCAATTATAGTTCTCTTTTTTAATATACAGACAATATTAAAAAGGTAACAAGAAATGGTAAAAAGATACAAACCACTTTCTTTCATAAATAGAAAAAGATTACAAACCACTTACATTTGTTTACTAGGTGTTGTGTACTTTATTTTATTATTTTCAATTTAGGCCTACTTTCAACTTCATTTAATTTTATCAAGATGCACGCATACAAATAATTTAGTAAATAAAATTATAAATAAAAATTTTGTGTAATTTGAACATTATTATCTCAATCATACTCTTAGCAAATGTTCCAAACACACATAAAAAAAAAATTCCTCTTGGTCAATGACCAAAATACTAACTCGAAAATTGTTTAACGACTCATAGCTGATTTTTATTTTTTTTATTTTTTATTTTTTATAAAGCGATATGTTATAAACAATACTAATTTACAAAAACAATAATTAAATTTTGATACAAAAGAAAGGTGCCTTGCACGTTTAGTAATGCTAAGTAGATCAAATTTATAAATTATATGATGTGTCATTAATAAAAAAAATAAGCACGTTATTAACACTTAAATAATAATTCAATTATTAACAACGACATCATATGATTTACAAAATATAATTGAATAGTTAGTCTCTTTCGTTTGCCCCTTTGAATTTGTTATATTCAATTGATATATCCTACAGATACGGCTGTAATAACTAATAGTTATAAGAACTGTTAGATTAGGTGGTTAAAAACATTCATCATTACACATGAGGAAACCCTTAACTCATGACTGCCGTTTGAGAAAAACAAAAAATTAAACATGATTAGTTGCCCCATTTAGTCTTTTATCTTTACGTTATCTTCTTAGCTTTTTGGGCTGTCACGAATATAATAAGTTACACAAAATTCTGAATTTGATCCAATACAGAAAAAAATTGTGTACCTTAGTAACCCAGAAATCTTTAGCCTGATCATCATCAATTGCATCAGCAGATACTGTGACAAAATAAGCAGCAGGTGACCTTGGCTCCACTTTGTACCTCTTGCAGTATGGTATCCAATACTTTGCAAACTCAGCAGCCTCCAAGAGAGCATAGTACGTAAGTTCCGACCCGCCATCATCGGACAGATAGACGCTCAGCTTCTCCGGCGGGTAATCATAAGCCATCACTGACAAAACCGTGTTAATCACCATCATCGGCGGCTCAATGGTTGGGTCTGCCGTGCACACAAATACGTCCACTCCCGGCAATTCATTCTCGTATCTGAGTTCAAATTTAATGAACGATACTTGTTGGATAACAAATATAAAGAAATGAGTATGAAGTTAGAAACACATGTAGGAAAGTACCTTTGAGATAGCCTATCTTTGAAGGTGTACCTATACACACGGTTCCACCGGGAGGCCTGAGTGAGGAGCCAGTAAAAACCAAACCATATCTCAGCACCCAAAAGTCCAATCCAACCAAACCTTCCATCTTCTCCTGCTTTTGGTATGTGACTCAATCTATAAACCCAAATCAAACATATTCCTGCAAATATAGATGCTGCAAAAACTTTATACAGGACTGTTCCCTTGGCTCTCCTCGTCTCGAACAACGGCAAATACCCTTCATTTCCCATCTAGTTCAGACCTCTCTCAACTCAGCTCAGCTCTCTCTGTCTCTCTATCTTAAAATAACAGAGAACGACAAATATGGTTATAGTTATTTGTCAGCCACAGCCTAACATTGTTGACAATTATTTACTCCATTGATGTGAGCCACCTATGGGAGAAAGGATATTATATTAGCACAAGCACCTATTGGAATTATTCAAATTTTTAATGTTATTGTATTAGATGCACTGAACATTGTACTATCTAGAGGTTGATTTGAGAACAAAGTGTCCTACATCAGTGAGAGATAGACCAATGCAAGACTTATAAGATATTGGACTACTTTCCATATTACCAATTGATTTACGAGGAAATCCCAAATTCTTTATGTTATCAAAGGAGGTTGTCTCTGGTTTAAAAGCCCAGGGGCAACACGTGCTCACACATTCTCCTAATTTGTTGTCCAAGTGTAAGCTTGAAAATTGATCACACGTGAGAGGGTATGTTGTGAGTTGATATGCTTGTGCAATATAAGAGATGGTCAGAAGGTAACCTCCAGATTTTGCATTCAAAGTATAGTCCTGCATGGTATGCCTATGGAAAGATTAGTTTAGGCCATCAACTTGGATATCTTCGATACTCCTTTTGGGCTGCAAATTGCTGGGCAACACTAGTTTACTCAATTCTTCCTTCACTTTACCTCCTTAGAGGCACATCCTTATTTCCACAGGTATGGTTCTAAGTCCTTATTCTCATTAATTTCCCACAAAATTGCACGATGCATGTTTCTTATATACATTTGCAATTGTACCTTATTTAACTACCAAAACTAATTGATGGGTTAGTAATCATGTTGGTCCTTCAATGAATTTGTGACTCAAATTGGCAATGTCGGTATATATCTATACCTATTTGTTTCAAATAAAAAACCATATGCAGTTCAACTATGATTTTGGGGGCCTCATTTAAGTTTTGCTTATGACCCCCAAAATCTAAGGATCAACCTTACTTCTCAATGTTTCAAAAGAATATCTGTTCAGTTTTTAGATATGAAGCTCATGGCTGACACCATATGTACATGTATGCTTGCATGCATTAGCTTGTTAGATTCGGATCAAACAACAACAACAACAACAAAGCCTTTTCCCACTAAGTGGGGTCGGCTATATGAATCCTAGAACGCCATTGCGCTCGGTTTTGTGTCATGTCCTCCCTTAGATCCAAGTACTCTAAGTCTTTTCTTAGGGTCTCTTCCAAAGTTTTCCTAGGTCTTCCTCTACCCCTTCGGCTCTGAACCTCTGTCCCGTGGTCACATCTTCGAACCGGAGCGTCAGTAGGCCTTCTTTGCACATGTCCAAACCACCGTAACCGATTTTCTCTCATCTTTCCTTCAATTTCGGCTACTCCTACTTTACCTCGGATATCCTCATTCCTAATCTTATCCTTTCTCGTGTGCCCACACATCCAACGAAGCATCCTCATCTCCACTACACCTACGTGTTGATGCTTCACCGCCCAACATTCTATGCCATACAGCATTGCCGGCCTTATTGCCGTCCTATAAAATTTTCCCTTGAGCTTCAGTGAACAAACAGTTACTTTCTAAATAGGACTAAGTGAACAAAAAGTTACTTTCTAAATATTTATTTAGTATATATTTTATGTCTAATGGGTTTTGTTTTGTGAATTTAGATCTCAAGATCTCAAGCATGGTTCATACCATTTGTGTATGTGATCATTGGAAAGTACACTTGGAGCTTTGTGGAGTTTTTGTGGTGTGGTGGCACAACTTTAGGTTGGTGGAACGAGCAGCGCATATGAGCTTCTATCTCTTTGCCTTCTACACTACTTTGGATATAATGATTCAGCATTTGTAATAACCGCCAAGGTGGCTGATGAAGATGTGTCACAGCGGCACAAGAAAGAGATAATGGAATTCGGGGACTCCTCCAATGCTTACCCCATTGCCAACACTTGCATTGCTCAATTTGTTACTGCTTTGCTGGGTTTCTTAAGGAAGCAATCAATGGGAAGGGCATAGCACAAGTTTATGATTCATTGACTTTGCAAATTCTGATGTACGGGGCTCTGATTCTCATCAACCTACCCTTGTACCAAGCACTTTACCTAAGGAAAGACAAGGGAAAGATTCCAGCCACCGTCGCTTTTAAGTCGATGTCATTTGCTGTGGTTGCTTGTACTTGTTTCAAATTTTCGTATTAAAGCATGGAAAACTCTTTAGATTCAACTCTTTCACACAAGGTATTTTTGTGAACTAAATTTTGTTTAGGATCAAAATAATGTTGTCTCTCTGTTTTAAATTAGTTTATTGTATCATCTTAATATAAATTCTATTGTCGAAAGCTTATCAGATCAGTGCTTGATCTTCTTCCCAGTAACATGAAAAACCCTATCAAAGTTTTCCTCCTGCACAACGCACAATCTTTGTATTGATCAGAATTAGGCAACACAATCTGCAAAACCTCTAGCTCATGCCCCTCTGACATATCCTCGCCTAGTTAATGATGCGTATAAACTCCATTTCAGATAGTCCTAATTGCCTCAGTCTTTGCAATCCTCTGAATTTCGGATCAAACCATGTTTTTTGTAAGTTCATCATTCTAGTGTAGTCCGTCTCATGGCTTCAATAATTCTGAAAGCATTCTTGGCTTCAAAGGCACAAGAAAATGCTAGACTAGTATAACCACCTGAAAGAGTAGCAAGTAAACGGCATACTTAATGATTTGATAGTAGCTTAATATTTCTAATGAGTTTAAGATAGATGATTAACTTGGTATTCCCGGGATTACACGCTGCGTAGTCTTTTATATGAACATATTGTAATACTATGGTACCAACTCATAATTTTCAGAATAGCATAGGGAAATGGCATGGAGCAAGCCATGGAGTAAGCAAAATGATGAACAATCACATTTCTTTGGTTGAAATAGGAATTAAATCACATAATATCTCATTAAGGTAGAGTTTAGGAAGTCATCTTAAGCCCTGAAATCCTCATGGTAGGCCCTCAATCGGGGGTAATAACAATTTCGAATGGTTCTAATAGCACATTTCTTCTAATATAAATATTGGAAACAGATACAAGCAGATACTGCAAATGCCATTGATTTAAAAGCTACAGAGCTTGGCAGCTTTCCCTTGTCCTTCCTTAGGTAAAGAGCCTGGTATAATGGTAGGTTGAGAAGAACTAAAACCCCACACAGAAGAATTTGCAAAGGCATTTTCTCATAAGCTTCTGCTATTCCTTCTCCAGAGATTGCTTTGTTTAAAAACCCAAGGAAGCAGTACAAATTGAGAATTGCTAGTGTTGCAAGTATGGTAAACATTGGCGACGAATCTCCAAATTCCATAACCTCTTTCTTGTATCGTTCTGACACATCTTCGTCATCCACCTTAGATGTTAATATGAATGCTGTATCAGAATATCCAAGCGAGTTTAAAATGGTGTCAATGAAGGCAAATAGGTAGGAACTTGTTCTCTTGTAAAGCCACATTCGTGATCGTTCCACCAACCTAAGATTGTGCCACCACACCCCAAAAACTCAACAAAACTCCAAGTGTACTTCGAAATTATCACGTATGCAAATGGTATGAACCAAGGGCTCGAGACCTAAGTCCAGAAAGCAAAACCCTTACTATAAACATTGAGTTAGTTGCAAAAGAAAATATGTATATTTTGACACAAAAACAGTACCTGTGGAAATAAGGAAATGCCTTTGAGGAGGTAAAGGGAAGGGACAATCGAATAAAATAACGTTGCCAAGGAATTCGAACACCAGAAGGAGAAGCAACAATATCCAAGTTGAAGACCAAAGCTAATTTTTCCATGTGCATACCATGCAGGGCTGTATTTAGTAAACAAAATCTGGAAATCGCCTTCTGTCCATCTCTTATGCTGCACAAGCGTCTGAGTTAGCGTACTTGGGGCTACTCCTAAGAAAGCTTTCCTTGTGGGATTGCAATACACTGATTTCCAACCATGGCATTGGATTGATAGCCCTGTGATCACATCTTCTACCGGACATCCATATTTCAATCCCATCTGCAAATTATAGACATTCGTCAAGTTCAAATTAGTGTGCAGTTGTGTGTGTGTGTGTGTGTGTGTGTTTGTGTGTGTGTGTGTGAGAGAGAGAGAGAGAGAGAGACCTCTTTTCCCCATTGAGTGTTCTCTTCAAATGTACAGCTTGCAAGACTTCTTGAATTTTCTTCTAATTCATGAATTCTACTTTCTTCTCTTTGTCCGCTGATCTCCCTTTTCATATCAAACTTGGATCCCTTGATAAACTTTCTCCCACAAAGAGTCTCTCTTCTGTGAAAGCATCCAGTTCCGACATACAGAGTGCCGCCATAACCATCCATGCCATGGAATTCCACCTTCAATCCCCACTCCAACATGTCAATTATAAAGATTAGAATAACTTAAAATAAAACTTTTCAATTAAATAAGTTCAATTCTACAGTCTTGTAACTCTATTAACATCTACTCACCTCGAAGATTACACGTAAAGTATTGCCATACAAATCATTTTTAGTTATATTTTCAAAATTCTGTGGGAACTGTACGAAGGCAACCTCTTGGCCTTCTTCTTCATCCATTAAGAAACAAAGCGCATCACGTATGGCCATGGAATTGTTCGAATACATATCGCAGTCTACATTAAGAATGACCTGCCCATTGCTAATGTTTGAAGATACCCTAATCTGCATTAATGTTAAGGATCACATAACAAACAGTGAATGATTATTATATCAACAAACAAGCTAATATTTGATGGTTTCGGAAGCGCCATTTTTACCTCTTTAAGGGCGATCCGAAGCCAACAAGGCTCCCCGCTTTGCGAGAGTTGGCCAGGAATGTTTATCGCTTTTATTGTCTTTTGTTAAAAAAAATTTATAAAAAATTACCGAATAGATGTAAGTTTATAATTATTACCAGAGCATTCATAGCGCCAGCTTTGAAGTTATGGTGATGCTGAGGCCTTTTCTCCCGAGCTAAATACACTAAAGTTGGCAATACACACCCTTCAACATCTCTTGAATTAGGGTTTCTCCCATCGATTAGAATCTGGAAAAAGAGTTTAATTATTACACATCAAATATCAGACAGCAGTGGAAAAGTTTGACTTTTTTTTACCACGTACGATCATGAGAAAAGACATTAAATACTTGGAGCAAATGGAAGACTTGTCACAAAATCAAGCACATTAAAGTTCTAAGATTCATACAGCGACCCATTTAATGAGATAAGACTCTGTTGTTGTTTACTATGACCCTGAATTGCATTTTTAATTTAAAAGAGATGATTTGAATATCAAATTAGTTTCATACTCGAAGAATGGTGTCATGGTCACGTCTAGATGAATCTGGATCCCACTGAGAAAAGCCTTTGCATTTTGATCGTTCTTTTTCTGAAATTCTGCCTAGCTTCACTGCATTTTGGATTTGATTCTCCATTTCTTTGTATAATTTCTGTAGCAAAAAAAAAAAATCAGAAAACAGGTATCAGATCATCGGTGAACTAATCATTATATATTGGGCTGCACTGCCCAAACTTATGTTTTTTACCGTTAATATTTACTTTGAAAGTGTGCACCTCCCTGTGTTGTGTGTGTGTGTATTTTTTAAATTGTTATTAACACTAAAAAAATCTAATTATATACTCTAAACTTTCTATATTTAAAAATACAAATACTCTTAGAGCAACTTTACTCTATTCAGTTGTCAATGGAAATAGACAATTTTATCCGCCAATACCTAAAAACCCCTCTCCACCCCAGCCCAAAAAGTCGGGCTACATGTGGGCCCATCCATTTTGGACCAAGCAATCAGTCGGGGATAGCCCGTGTGTGTGCCTAAGTCTATTTGACGTCAAGCTGATGTTAGCCACATTTATATTCGTTAAGTCAATAATTGCCTTTGTCCAATTGTCTCGACAATTATTGCCTTAACGGGGGTGTAATTGCTCTTATAAAATGTGCAAGATTAAAATTTTAAAGTGTCAATAGTAATTCTCTTTCTAAACATATAAACAATATTAAAAAAGAATCGCCAAAACACAGTAAGAAAATACAAAGCACTTACATTTGTTTACCACGTTTTGTATTGCTAGCTGCACTTTGTTTTATTTTTTCTAATTTAGGCCTACTTCCAACTTCACCTAATTTTATTAAGATGCACACATACAAATAATTTAGTGAATAAAATGTGTAAATTAAAAAAAAATGTGTATAAATTTGAACATTATTATCTCAATCATACCCATAGGCAAATGTTCCAAATACACATGAAAATTTTTCCTTGTGGTCAATGACCAAAATGATGACTCGAAAATTGTCAAAAGACTCATAGCTGATTTTTTTTTTTTTTTTTTATTTTTTATAAAGCGGTATGTTATTAAAAACAAAAAAAAAACAAAAAAACAAAAAAAAATCCTAATTTACAAAAAGATATATTTTGGTGTAAAAGAAAGGCTTATTGCGAATTGAGTAGTGCTAAGTAGATCATATTTTTAAATCAAATTTACAATCATATGATGTTTCATAAATAATCCAATCATTAACAAATACGTTATATAAATTATAAAATATACTTTAAAGAGTTGGTATCCCTAACATTACCTTACTAATTTATATTCAATTAATAGAATCCCACACACAGAGCTTTCACAACTAATACTGATGATACCCATAATGATGCTTGCCCATTTTGTGAAAACAACAAGTAAACGTGAGAAAACCCATAACCAATGCTTGCCCTTTTGAGAAAAGCAAAAAATAAACATGATCGGTTGACGGACTTTGTCTTTATCATTTACGTTTCTTCTAAGCTTTTAGAACCGTCACGAATATTATAAAGTTATACAAAATTCTGAATTTGATCCAATACAGAAAATCTTTGTGTACCTTAATAACCCAGAAATCTTCGGCCTGATGATGATCAATTGCATCAGTAGCTACTGTGACAAAATAAGCAGCAGGTGACCTTGGCTCCACTCTGTACCTCTTGCAATATGGTATCCAATGCTTTGCAAATTCAGCGGCCTCCAAGAGAGCATAGTATGTAAGTTCCGACCCGCCATCATCGGACAGATAGACGCTCAGCTTCTCCGGCGGGTAATCATAAGCCATCACTGACAAAACCGTGTTAATCACCATCATTGGTGGCTCCATGGTTGCGTCCGCTGTGCACACAAATACATCCACTCCCGGCAACTCATTTTCATATCTGTTCATGTAACTCCAATATGTCATCAGGTCAAATTTTAGGAAGGAAAAATTAGTATTTGATTCCTAGTTACTAATGTTCATTGATTGAGACCTTATTATTTTTCAAATTTTGATTAGAGTCTCTAGCATTAATGTAATTGATTTAGAGTTTTAGTACTCACACCTGTATTAAACTCCTAATTAATTTTCAATTCAAACATTTTCAAAAAAAATTAAATTAAATTAGAATAAGTTTGTACCCATTAGTTTTTTATGAAAAGATTCTCAATTTTTAAATCTTAAATGTACCCATTCATATAATTTTCAATTTTTTTAATCTTAAATGTACCCATTATTAAATATACAAATTTGTTATATGTAAAATGTACCATTTTTTTAATATAAAATGTACAAATTTTTTATACAAAAAGTACCCAATTTTTTTAATACAAAATCCATTTTTAAACTTATATGGGTACATTTTTTTTCCGTTAATTTGAGAATGTATCTATGTCAAGTTTAATCGAATAAATTTACTAATGTTATTAAGCCTAATATCTTCATTTTTTCTGTGTTTTGAATAATGTATCCATGTTTTGGTACAATAATTTTTTTTTGTTAATTTTGATGAATGTACCCATATTTATATATATACACACACATAAAATAATAGAGAGTATAATTTATATTTTATTTTTTTTAATCCCGGAAATTATGGTTTATATTTAAAATCTCATTAATATAAACAAATACTAATTATTTTTAATTTAAAAAATATTACTTACACTATTACATTAATGTTAGAGACTTCGATCAAAAACTAAAAACAGACAAGATTTCAATCAAAGAGTATTAATGGTTGGGAACCGAATCCAAAATGTCCCTTTTATGAACCACAGTTGTCCAATAACAAATAACAAACTAACATGAAGTAATTGATATACCTTTGAGAAAGCCTGTCTTTGAAGGTGTGCCTATGCACACGGTTCCATCGGCAGGCATGAGTGAGGAGCCAGTAAAAACCAAACCATATCTCAGCACCCAAAAGTCCAATCCAAGCAAACCTTCCATCTTCTCCTTCTTTTGGTATGTGACACAATCTATAAATCCAAATCAAACATATTCCTGCAAAATTAGATGCTGCAAAAACCCTATACAGGACTGTTCCCTTGGCTCTCCTCGTCTCGTACAATGGTATGTACCCTTCACTTCCCATCTAGTTCAGACTCTCTCTCAGCTCAGCGCTCTCTCTCTCTTTCTATCCTAAATAATAGATAAGGACATGTATGGTTACATATATTTGTAAGCTACAGCCTGACATTAATTATTGACAATTTTATCCATATGATGTGACTTCCACCAATGGCAGATTGGATATTAGATTAGCACAAGGGACCTGACTTCTCTGCCCTCCCAGTTCTCATACACTCTCATCCCTTCCTATTTTGTGCGGTCACTATTACGCCACATCAATATTTTATATTAATTTTTTTTATAGAGATAATAAGACAAAAAACAATAATGATATAAAATGTTGACGTGACTTAATCGTGACCGCACAAATAGGAGAGGATGGGAGTGTATGGGAACTGGGAGGGCAGAGAAGCCAGGTGCACTTATCGGAATATTCAGTTTTTAATGCTATTGTATTCAGTGCACTGAGCATTCTACTATGGACAGAGGTAGATTGTGTTTGAGTGGAAATTTAATATTAGGCTTAGTGAGAGTGGAGGCTCAAGAACACAAAAAAGGCAAAGGGAGAATTGGGATCGGACAAGTTGACAGTCCAGAAGGAATAAAAATCATTTTTTGACAAGAAATAGACAACAAACCTATGTGAGAAGTGACACTTTGTAGGGCAGGTCACCCTTAGCAAAAAATACTTTTCAAGGGCATGGATAGGTAAATAAGTGGTGACTCAACATGTTCAGGAGGCCATCACCAAAAGGCAAGGTTTGGACAGTTGGGCTAAAAAGTCTATAAAAGCAGTAAGGGATACCAGAGACAAGGACACTCAACCAATCAATGAAAAGACATCCAACTTTGCTCTCAGAAAAGCAAGAAACCAAAAAGTTTTAGTTTGTCCATACTATGTTCTTTTAGTCATAGATTCACCATAGAAAGCTATCTTTTGTCAAGTTTTAGAAACTCTGCTACACTCCCCCAGCGTTGTAGTATCGAATCCCTTTAGTAAACCCGTTTTACCTTTCATTTTCCAAATATTACAACCCCTATAAACACAAAGAGAAGTGGTCACAAGAAGATGAACCTTGCCTGACAAGTTTATAATCTTGCCCTAATCTCTTTTGTTTGTACTTACATAAAGTAGATATGTTGTTTAAATGCATCTTCCTTTGTGTTTTAAATCATTTTCAACTGATTTTCATTCAAAGTTCATCTATGATTAATCTGGTTAAACTAATTAACCTTACTTCTTTAGTGTTAACTGTAATCAAAGAAATAGTTGGAAGGGTCATGAACTCCTTTTATCCGGGCTTATAATATTATGAGTAAAAGTCCTTGTTTACAAGGGAAGAAAAAAAAATCTGATACAAACTTAACCCATCTGTAACAATCCAGTAAGTTTAAGAAGTCTAAGTAATTTGTGGTGCAAGTAATCAACCCAATTAATAACCAAAAAAAAAAAATCTATTATACAAAGATAACAGTGACACGCTTAGATCCATATTAGTTTTGATTGTGAGCCTCAATGCCTAACAAAGGCCCTACAAAGGCACCATTCAAACTAATAGCAAACTCATATTGTAGCACATCAAACAACAAACCTTGCCCGACAAGCAAGACTCTGGGGAGTTGTGTGAGGGACAGATCTAGCCCGAACATAGTTTTGGCATGCCCAATGGAACTTATTTTGTGATATGTATGCCAAGACGAATGAAGGATCGAACGTTCAAATGGAAGGTGGAATTTAGGCAACCTATTTCCAACAGAAGCAGGCATGACATATCACCCATAAGACTTTCCTTCACTGCACGGTCCCGAAATCTTAGAGAACCCTACCTCTTTTGAGAAGTCGGGTGGAAAGGTTACTAATGAAGATCTACAAGCCACCATGGTGCAAGTATTGAGGAGTATGGAGAAGATCTCTCAGGAGACCAAATGAGAAGTTAACAGGTGTTGTTCCTTAACAGGAACGCTACAAAGAAAGTTGGAGTTAAAGTGTTCCACACCGAAGGATGGTTTCAATAGGGAAAGAATCATGGAGACAAGCCCAGAAAATGAACCAGCAATTTTTTTGTTTCCCTTACTTAAAGAAAAGAAGAACAAGGGGAAAAAGAAAAAAAAAGGCTGAAACCAGTAGGCGAGAAAAAGAAGAGTTTCACGAGACAGGCTTGCCCGATCCTCTGCCACCACCACCAGATGTTAGAAGGCAGGTCAAGCAGGAAGGGATAAAGATTGGTGCGTCTAACTCTGTGGGTGAAACAAGCTGAAAAATGGTTTATCCATAGTTGGGGGCAAGCCTCTTCTTTATAGGCCACCACCAATGGCTAATAAAGAAGAAAGATAAGCTAGATAGAGACAACCATACCCATAGAGATAAGCTTTTTCGGGCATTGATCATAGCCTAAAGTGGGGGACTTCCTATCCCCTACACAATAATATGGATAATCACAACTCAGGAATGAATTGGCAGAATTGAAGAGGATGGTGGTACAGAATGCTCAATCGCAAGTTCGCCCGATGTTTAGGATAACATATCAGAAGCCTTATCTTGAGTACATTGATGAGTAGAATCTTTTCCCTCTCAATTTCAAGATGCCCGTGTTCCCAACTTTTAGTGGGGAAGACTGTAATGTGTCTTCCAGAGATCACATTTTCAAGTTTTCAAATCACTGTGTAGTGTTTAAAGTCAACCCCAACTACAAACTATGACTATTTGGTAACTCACTAGTAGGCTTAGCTTCCCAATGGTACCCTCTGTTACCAATCAATTCCATTGCCAACTGGGGGCAAATGGAGATGACCTTTCATGAGGAGTTATATCGGGTGGAACTTGAAATGACCATTAATGATCTGGGGGAAGTACAGCAATATGAACATGAGCCTACAGAGGATTTTTTGATGATGTTCAAGAATACCAAGATGAGATGCTAGTTCCCAATCAACCATGCTCAACTCATAGCCATTCCCCAGAAGGCTCTGAGACAACCCCTGAGAAAGAAGTTCTATGATGTACAGTTTAACGAGCTTCAAGAGCTGGTGATTGCGACCACTAAGTATGAGAAGTTGTTGGTAGAAGAACAGCGAGTGAAGCATTCATCTAAAGCGCCCCGTTTTTATAAAAGCAAAGCGCCAATATATCAGCTGGAGTTTGAAAGCCTAGAGGCAGGAGAAAATTATAACAGCGTGGGAGAAGGGATAGAGTTGTGTGCTGTAGAGATGACCACTCCTTAGACTTGAGTAACAATATGACCTAAACTAACTAATTTAGACGTCGTTTGAACAGCAGCTTTGGCCCTAACTTTCTCCATTTCATATCACCTGTTACCAATTGGACTCTAAACTCTTTTCTTATTGTAACGGGGTAGCTAATCGCCTTGCGATGTTTTCTTTTATTACGGAAATTTGATTCACATCATGTTATGTATTTTTACACTCAACTTAAAATGTTAACATGCATGTTTCTACATTGGACGCTTGTCTAATTCCGCATCTTATTTTCTACTGGATATCTGGTACACCATGTACGATGTGACCTCATCAGTGGCAGTACTGCCTCCTGGTGATGGACTTTCTAATTATAATATGTGGTGTTTTAGGAAGAATCAATATGGAAATACTAGTTCATAAACAATGCCTGTTCATTAATCTTTCAGCTAGCTAGCTTTCCTAGTAAATAGGCATCAGGCATGCCAGTGTAAGCAACAAAACAGACTTGAACACGACAGACGATGGTATATGACCCTTATCGCTGCGGAAGAAGAGCGCCTGGTACACCGGTAAGTTGATCATGACCAATATGCCACAAAGAAAAACTTGACTGATCAACTGCTCTGAAGCTTTGGAATCTATATCCATGGCAACCCTCTTTGTTCCCCATACTAAGCTCATTAAGTTTAGCAACGCTGATGTTGCCAAGACGGTATACATAATGCTTGGACTTCCAAATTCCATGACCTCCTGCTCATACCTCTTTGTCACATCCTCTGTCATCACCTTATCAGTGAGGGCAAAATCTGTTTCGGATAGCCCCAATTGCCTCTTTATGGTATCGAAGAAGGCGAAAAAGTAGGACGTAATTCTTCGGAACAGCCACATTCTTTGTAAGTTCCACCATGCTTTGAGTGAACTACCACAATGGAGGGCCTCAATTATGCTGTAAACATTCTTGGCTACAAAAACATAAGTAAATGCTAGGAACCATGGACTTGACACCTGAAGACATCAATTAGAAGCAATCAGTTCAACTCAACGAATTTAAATGCCCTTCATATGAGTAGCTCGCCAATGACTATTTGGTCTTCTAGCACTCAGTCTCCACTTCGTAGGACGAGGTACTGAGTTCAAATTTATATCCAACAATTGTTGAATAAAAGAAAACATATAAAGGGAAGTGATATTGCGCTCATTCTTTTCTCCCATGCAATTTCTATTTATTTATGGTCTTTCGATTGAATCAATTACAGCAGAAGCAAGTGACAAAAATCAACAGAGGTGTGCAGAAGGAAAGAGTAGTGTGGAAATCATTTTTCTGTATAAATAACTAGCTAATAAAGGAAATTCATCCCTCCAATATACAAGAAGAGTGAGATTGAGGTACCTTTGGGAACAAGGGAATGCCATGGAGCAAGCAAAGAGGAGGAACAGCCACATAATACATAGTTGGGAAGGAAAGTGGTGCCCACAAAAGGTAGAGACAATATCCCATTTGGGCACCCAACTTTATCTTTCCATGCCCATATATGAAAGGGCAATACTTGGAGAAAAATATCTGAAACATGCCCTCACACCACCTTTTTTGTTGAACAAGTGCTATATCCAAAGTATTTGGAGAAATACCTAGAAACCCTTTTCTCTCTGGATTGTAATAGATCGACTTCCATCCCCTACATTGAATCGCCAAGCCAGAAACTATATCTTCAACCGGGCATCCATACATCAGTCCCATCTGCATATAAAAACAACATATATTTCATCGTGACGTTCGGGTCTAGTATTCGGAAACAGGGAATTGTGAAGAGAAAGAGGGAGAGAGAGACCTCTTTTCCCCATTTAGTACCCTTTTCGTAGCTACAAGTGATAAGAGTTTTTGCAGATTCCTCCAACTCTTGGATACTTCTGTCAATAGTATTTTGGCCCTCTGTGTTCCATTGTCCTCTATAATCCTTGGAATACTTCTTTCCGAAAAGACATTCTCTTCGATGGAAACATCCAGTGCCACAAAACAAGGCCGCGCCATATCCACCTAACCCAGCAAGCTCGACCTTTATGCATGACAACCCAAACCAGAACATGTTAGTCCAGCAAAAACCATGTACCTTTCTTTACTAATAATTTAGAAGTGCCAAGCTACAACTACAATCTGTGTCTCTCACCGCATTAACTACAAAACATCCACTTCCATAGATATCGTCCTTGGTGAGATTGTTATAGTTTTGTGGATGTTGCACGAAAGCAATCTCGTGGCCACACTTGCCGTCCAAGAAAAAGCATAATGCCTCTCGTATTGAGTCTGCGTTGTTTGCGTACATGTCACAGTCCAGCAGGAGGATGAAGGGTGCCTTGCTTATTTCTGATGACACTCTCAGCTGCACAACAACAAAAAATAACCTTTTTCGGTTTGCATAACACAAAACTTTAGTAAAATTTATATTGGAAGAGTTAATGATTTTTAATCAAACACAAATTTGCCTAAAACGAGAAGATCCATTATTAGTGTCTATAATTGTTCCTTCCGTGTAGTCGTAATCGAGAGGGCCTCATTGGTGAGCGCTACAAGATCTCACCGCCAGTGTTCATCCTGATTCCTCAGCCAGGATCTAACTCTCCATGAAATTCATAGTTGTGCTCAATTTCTCATGCAGCGAAATTCTCATCAGTATAAGTCAAGTGAGAACATATGAGGGTAAAATATACACAAGTTATGCACCGATACAAATTAAAATTAGTAGGAGCAATGTAGTTGGAACTTGGATGTAAGGAAGCTAAAGCTAACCAGTGCATTCACAGCTCCTGCTTTGAAGTTGTGAGGCTGTTGGGGTCTTTTTTCTCGTGACACATACACCATTGTTGCCAACCGGCATCCATCATTATCCATGGCGTTCGTGTCTCTTCCATCAGTTATAATCTTCAAAAGAAACGAAAGGGACAGAGCAATCAAACAAAAAAGAGTGACAAAAAGTAATGGGCAAAGATCAGTTCATTCAAAGAATTGCATACTTGCACAATTGGCTGATGATCATTCTTTGCTACTTTGAGGTTCCACTCTGAGAACCCTTTGTGTTGCATCTTTGTTTCTTTGGGAATCTTGCCCGTTCCAACAGCAGATTCAATCCGATTCTTCATATCTTCGTAAAGTTTCTTTGAAAACATACAAGTGTGAGTCAGTTAGTACGTTACATGGATGTTCTATCTAAAACAAAGAAAACTGAAAACGAAATTGTCACCTAACGAACCCTATAGCAACACTCGGCATTTTTTACCTTGATTTCCAACCATTCCTGACCATACTTTATGTCATGCACATCAGAGTGCAGGGCAAAGTAGGCCTCTGGAGACCTTGGTTCAATATTGAACTTTTTACAGAAGGGAGTCCAGTACTTGGAGAAACTGGCGGCCTCTAAGAGCGCGTAGAAAGTGAACTCCGAACCGCCATCATCAGAAACATAAACATTCAATTTCTCAGTTGGATAATTGTAGGCCAGGACTGATAACAAAGTGTTGACCACCAAAGTTGGTGGCTCCATTTTGGGGTCTGCAGTGCATATAAAAATGTCAACACCTGGTAACTTGTCATCATATCTGCAAAGTATTCAAAGAAATATAACCTTTATTGGTTAGAAAATCATAACTGCAATCTTTCATGTTTTACTTTTTTATTTTTTACGGCGTTTTGATTTAATTATTCAAAGGAGAATCAAGGTAGAGAAACAAGAGAACTGCAGGTGCAGCAGGAGAAAACATGAGCCTAGAAATCACTAATCCTTTATTTAGAAAGTTTTAACGAAAAACTTTCAATACAATTTTTTACGAAAAATTATATTTTATCTTCTTCGTTAAAACTAAAAAAAATTTAAACTTTTTGTTAGAGAAAAGCAATTTCCACACATCATTTTTCTTTACATATACGCTCCTATTTGTTTATAACATTTGAATCATATAAATCAAAGAAAAACCAGACGATTGACCGAACTAAACAAAAGTGCGCAAAAAGAGAAAGATGTGTGCGAAGATTATTCATCTGTTTTTAAACCAACTGTATACTATTAACTGTATGACCTTAAGATGGAGGGGTAGCAAACCTGTGAGAAAGCCTGTCCTTGAAAGTTCGACGATAGGTAACGTCCCATCGGACAGACTGAGTTATAATCCAGTACAGGCTAAACCAGAACTCAGCTATGAGCATGCCAATCCAAGCCCATCTTCCTGCCTCTCCTGGTTTTGGGATGTTTGTTACTCTATACACCCATATCAAACATATACCCACCAATATTGTTGACGCAAATACTCTATATATACCCCTAAACTTTGCAGTTGTGCTCTCAAACAACGGAAGACTACTCTCTTCTCCTTCTCCACCACTCTCCTGCTTGCCCATCTCTCTGTTTCTTCACCCTCTCTGGTTGGATGAAGAGAGTTGGTACATTTGTTTATGGATATGGATCGTCTGCCCTTCCCATTTCTTATCTTCCCATGGCCTCCTATTTTTGTGGTTACGATTAAACCACGTCAATATTTTATATTTTAATTATTTTTTGTCTTATTATTTTTATAAAAGAAAATCAATATAAAATATTAACGTAGCTTAACCGTGACCACAGAATATAAAAGGGTATGAAAAATGTATGAGATGAGAAGGGCAGACAATCCAAGTCTTTTGTTTATACATATATTTATAATATATACATTTAAAGTAAAATAATGCTGACGTACCAAACAGTCTTTACATGATGACAATGATTGAGTAAGCAAGAAGATTAAATTTGTAGACAGGATTTTATAAACTAAATGACATTAAAATTGAAGATTAAATTATTACTTAAGCATTGATAAACGTGCATATTTTCTATTGGTGACACATCATTAGTTTACAAATTTTGTCTACAAATTTTGTTTCCCTAGTTCACTCGATTGAGTATGTATGTTTGAATATGCGGTTCTGATTCACACCAAACAAAATAATGGTAATGCTATAGAGACTAAATTAATAGACAAAATTAAACTAAATGATACGTCACCAATAAGAAATGAGAATGTTAATTCAATCATCAACTTTCATGTCATTTAATTTACAAAATTTTATATACAAATTTAATCTTCTTGACATTATCCGTAAAACAATGTTTCGGACATACAATGTTGAATCTTTTTTCGTTCGCAACACTGCTACTTGTAACACATGGATTGATCACTTTACTTATTAAATTTTATAGACATCACTATTTAATTAGTGCATGTAATGAGTATTAAGAGTATCTCCAAACCAAAAGGCATTATCCATGGGTCAATGGAACTGGCATTTAGCCACGATGGCGCATATGCTGCATGAACACCAAACAGCCTCAAAACACGCCCATCCCCATCCATATCCCCCGCCCAAATGGCATTATCCATTGGTCAATGGAACTGGCATTTAGCGACAATGGAACTGGCATTTAGCGACGATCGCCCATGTGCTGCATGAGGGGCGGCTTTGCTCTGGTCAATAAGTTATGAACAGCCGCACCCTTTTATATATAAAATAATTATCATTTAAGAATCCAAACTGTTGTTCTTGTCTAATAAACGCATGGGTTTAATAAAAGGAGGTGGATTGTATGCCTTTCTATTTTTATATTTTTTTCATCTTTTCTTGTTTTGTGTGGTTACGATTAAATCACGTTATAATTTTATATTTATATTATTTTTTGTTTTATTATTTTTATAAAAAAATTAATATAAAATATTAACGTGATTTAACTGTAACCATACAAATAAGAGAGGATGAAATGAGATGATAGACAATCCACCTCCTTAATAAAATCCTGTTGACATGACGATACAAATTAAATGACAACTACTGACGTTGGTAAGTAGAAAAATAGACCTTAGTAGCTAAAACTACCAAAAGTCGAAAGGCTCCAATAATTTACCCACTTCGTGTTGTATACCGTTCATCCTACTAAAGAGTTATAATTTTTTAACAATCGATATTATCTACATTAAAAAAAAATGAATGAGCTTAATTTCACAATAAGCTAGTGATAATATGGTTCAAATTCGTCTTCAGCGAGAATTGAATCTAAGACTTTTCACTTATCAGTTAAAAGGAATATCATTAGACCGTAGTACTAAATGGCATCAAGGAGTTTTAATTAAATCATACACTTTCCACTAACTTTCTAAAGAGCGAAAATAATCCACAAAACAGTCCGAAACTCAATCGCTTTGATTTAAAAATGAAAGTCCATCGTGAAATTTGTTCAAATGAGATTAATAAACTCTTAAACACTAATTTATACATACACGCACACATGTTATATTTCGACAAACAAAAAAGTATACGGAAGTATTATAATACAAATGCATTGAAATTAGTGGTCACATTAGGATATAAGCAGAGGCTAGAGCTATTGGCTTGAGATAGTCATGGCCCTAAGCAAATCATTCAGCGCCAGCTAAACCTTCTTTGAAAGTCCATATATAATTATATAGGAACCAATGTTTAAAGCGAACTTTAACGAAAAGTTTCTGATATCGTTTACTTTAATGAAAAATCATATTTTTACACTAAAACGTCAATTCTGGTACTATTCATCGTACTATTCATTTTACCATTTATTTTGTCCTTATCGTTAAAACTCAAAGTTTTCAAACCATTTTCATTAATTTTCCTATGTTTAAATACAATGGTAGTAGTAATTTAGTACCACAATTTAGTGGTATTCATTTTTACTTATAAGTGATAGGTCTTAGATTCGATTTTCGCCAAATACGAATTTGAACCATATTATTGTTAACATATTATGAGGTTTAGTTTACTCTTCTGCGCCTTAAAATAGGCAATATCTTTGTTCCCAAAAAAATTGTGTTAGCAAATTCTCTCTAAATAAATTTAACAAAATAATGTTACAAGCAATCGCTTAGACAAAATATAGCAGACCAAAGACTGGAAATCAGCTTCGGGTCATAACATCATTTTCCTTTTAGATAATTTAGTCCTATAAAATATGAGAGGATGAGGATCCACGTGAAAGGTGACTAATACTCAATACTCAATAGGCTTTTAGAAGTCCAAAGAGCGCAAATATTCTACTAGACTAGGTGTCATCTTTTCCGAATTCTTTTATGAGAATTCTAGAAATTTATAAATTATGTTTATTTATTGTACATTATATGATTAATTTTTATCAGATATTATTTGTATTTTTAAAATCTTCGCAAAAACAAAATCCGACCAAAATCCGGATTCAACTAGTGCACCGCGATAACGCATGCATGCGTTGTCGGCCACCTATTTTATTATTTGTTTAATTTAGAATTCTTTATTTTAAATCCGTAGTTCAAGAAAATGATAGCCGTTGACAAAGAATTTTATTTAAAAATAAAACGAAATACGACAAAACAAATTAAATAATCACTTGTCAAATTAAATACTGAATAATGAGTGACTATAAACTTTTAGAAGTATTTTTGCTCATCACCATAAACTATAGTGTATGCTCACCATACACTTAATCAATTGACACGTGTTCTTTTATTTAACTCTAGTTAATTTTTACATTAAATATTAGTTTTTCAATTTTGAAAAAAAATTAACTAAGATTAAGTGAAATAACACGTGTCAATCGATTAGATGTATGGTGAGCATACATCATAGTTTATGGTGGTGAGCAAAAATGATCATGTGGTCTACAAGAACTATACTATCGTATATAACACGAAATCCGAAAGGGACATGGATCCTATCCGGATCCATTAGTTCTAATCCATCAAGTCATATTATTCGAGCTATTAAAATTTGATCCAACAGTTAAAATTATTATAATTTTTTAAAATATATTTCTATTTGTAATCATTGGATTAAATTTCAATATGAATGATGTGATTTAGTGGAATAAAACTAATGGATCCGGAGAGGTGCATGTCCATCCGAAAGGGGCCACCATTAAAAAAATAAAGTAACATGTACTAATATGGGTTTTGAGTTGTTTGGTATCACGTCACTACTTTGCCGTTTTGAGAAATAGAGTTTGAGTTTGGCTTTTGCCTCTTTGCCCCCTTGATTTTAACCCTTCGGGCTTTAAGCCAAAAAAATGATTGAAATAAAGGAAAACTAATAAAAAAAGGTTCGAAAATTTTGAGTTTTAATGATAAGGACAAAATAAAGAGTAAAGTGAATAGTACCAGGTTTGACTTTTTTAGTGTAAAAATGTGGTTTTTCATTAAAGTGAACAGTACCGTGGGCTTTTCGTTAAAACTCCCTTGAAATAAAGCACTTAGAAAATCAATTTATGTTTTTGTCTTCTGCCCTCTCATCCCTTGATCGTTATCACCGTCAAAATTCAAAATTCAAAATTCAACAGCTAATTGGCTCAAATTGAAGTGTGAAGAAATATCTTGTCACTTAGTTGTAGATAGGCGTGTCAAGTTTATTTAAATAAGGGAGTTTTAACGAAAAATCTGTTGTACTATTCACTTTAACGAAAAATCACATTTTTACACTAAAAAGTCAAACATGGTACTATTCATTTTACCCTTTATTTTGTCCTTATCATTAAAACTCAAAGCTTTCAAATCTTTTTCATTAGTTTTCCTTTTAAATAAAGGATGGTGCGGTCCAAGTTCATTTAATAAGACACTACATGACACGATTCTTAAAAAGTAAGGTGGGTAGGTCTAAGATTTTAGGCCTAATGGCCAACTGATCGTGTTGCGGCCGGTTGGACTTGTCATGGGACTAGCACGGGCCACGGTCCTAACCAATTACGTATAATCTCGCATATTTTTTATTTTTTAATTACAAATATACATTATAAGGTTAGTAAGATTATATGACAAAAGAAAGTCAGCGAGACTTGATATTAAGCTTAATAACATATTCAAATAAGTTTTCTTTTTAACTTTAAAATAACTAAAATTTGTTAAAGAAGTCAGCCTGTTTAGTGACCCGGCCGGGCTAGCCCTGCATGACCCATATCTTATGGGGTAGGGTTGTGGGCTGGATTAGGCTTAGTATTTTATTAAGTGGGTCGGCCTAAACACCATTCATTTATTATGTGTGACAGCCCAAGCATGTTCAAAATGTACGTGGACCAACTTTAAATGGTCAGGCCGTCCCGTTTGACACCTCTATTTAGGGGTGGACTTTTTTTGTGAACCATACTACACCGATTTTGTGTCAATCAATAATTGCATGGTATTGTACCAAACCGAAATGCAATGCCTCCTCCAAATGCTTCTACAACTCAAGCTTAAAGAATTGATTATTGAATTTTTATTTTTTGAAGTATAGATCCACTTCCAATTTTCATTGGGTTTAAAATTTTAACTTCTATTTGGATTGTAAACTTAACTTCTACTTGATTTGATTTGTAACTTCTATTTGGATTTGTAACCTTAATTTCCATCATGAATCTTGATGCATCATTTGACTGATTATATGTGTATGAGTTGTGAATGATGAATGATAGATGAGATAAAGGCACAAAAAAATGTCTTGCCCTTGAATTGAGTTGGAAAAAAAAAAAATCATATTTTGGCCCAAAAAAGTTGCCCAAAACAAAGTGACAATTATCATTATTATGTCATCCCAACCGAACTATTTGGAATATCGAAACTTGGTATATCGAAAGTTTGGCATGGTAGTAATTTTGCCAAACCAAAAGTTTGGTAAGGTAATTGGTACGGGAGTTTTGGTACAGTAACCGTATAGAACCCATCCCTACCTCTATTTGTAGGGAGATTGTCTAGTGGTGTGAGTAGGGGTAAAGCAGAACTTTTAGTTTCGAGGTGCAAAATACTTGATTGAATATAAATATTTTTCTTTATGAGTGAAAAAATTTAAGTTTGATTTTTATAGATAATAAATTCGATAAAAATGGTGGTTTATTCTAATTTTAGTGTGGATTGTCGTATCAAAACCACCAATTGGTCCATCTTTTGTTTTTTTTTTTTAAAGAAAAAGTCTAATCTTAGTGTGTTGTTGTATTAAAAAAGATTGGTGTATCTTTGCCCCAATTTGTTTTATTTTTATTTTTAAAGAATGACAACTAGTGGCAAGCAATTGTTCTATATCCACCATTTTCGAGGGCTAGAAAGACTCACAGAAACATTTCAGCTTCTCTCTGGCCACAAGTCTAGCTTCCACACCAGCAGCAGGTTTCAAACCCAAGACCTCTAGTTTTTAGTTTGAAGGAAGCCTCGCAATCTGTCATTTACCACTTAACCACCAGCTTGTGGTTTTTGCCCCAATTTGTTGAGGACACTCTTCTAATTGTGCAATATAACTTGTTGCCATCTTTTTTTTTTTTAGAGGAAAACTAATAAAAAGATTTTGAAAATTTTGAGTATTAGCGATAAGGATAAAATAAAGGGTAAAGTGAATAGTATCATGTTTGACTTTTTAGTGTACAAATGTAGTTTTTCGTTAAAGTAAACAGTACCGGAAGCTTTTCGTTAAAGTTCCTTTTTTTTTAGACTAGTATTTGCTTACACACTTTGTATGTATGAACACATTTTTTTAGAAAATGAGAAGGTGAGAAGGAGAGAGAGAGAACGTTGGGGGGGGAGGAGTGGGAAGTTTTTTTTTAATTTTATTTTAATATTGGAAGTATTTTAACATCATATGTAGGTGATGTTTTAATAAAAAGCAATAAAATTTAGACTTGTAAAATTATATTATTGTCCATCATTTTTCTTGTGTAATAAAAGACTAAATTAACTTTTCATCCTATTTTGGTTGATAAAAAGATTTCATTAATTAATAAAGATATTAGGATTTTAGGGTTTTCTTTCTTTTGGATGATAGGAATAATAGTTTGGTACATGCCAAGGGCCTGACTTTTTGTCATTTGGAAGATGTTGCCAAGTGTCACGAACCATGCATGGAGGTGACGATGTGTCAACAAGCATGGGTTTTGGGCCACGTGTCAATCTTGCGTGAGAAAGAACTGTCTACTTGGGGTTGGGCAAGAAGTTGGACTTGGGCTTCTCTAAATTTCCCGGCCCTCCAATGCGTTAGGTAGACCATCTCCAATGTATTGGACATAATGGGTTTGAATGACGGTGGACCTTGAGTGTGGAAACGAATGACCTTGTGTGCGAAACGAGTGACCTTGAGTGTTGAATAAATGCTCTTAATTATTTGAGTTACATTTTTTTCATTAACGCAATTATAATTTGATCTATATATCTGATTTTCCCATCAGAAATTAAATAAAAAAACAAGAGAAAACAAATTGTTAATATTTGGATGAATTCCACACCATTTGTGCTTGGAAAATATTTATTAGGTGATTGAACTTTAGATGAATCCCAAATTTGGAGTTGGGCATGGATAGAAGATATGGACTTGCCACTTTGAGTCCAAATTTCTTTCTCACACCAACCAAAAAGCAGAAGGGAAAAAAATCCAATTTCTCTTTTTCAAGACCCTCTCAAATCTAACATTTAGGGATAAAAAGTAGTTGGTAAAAAGATTGGGATGAAAAGTAGTTTTTCAAAGAGAATGGAGATTTAGGTGGAATGAGGTTTTTTTTGGGTGAAGGGTTTGTTTTTTGCATTTGCTAGAAGCTTTCTTTCTTATATTTGTCTTTGATATTTTGGTAAAAATATAATATTGGGGGTTCTTGTAGACTTTCGGTGTGTCTAAATTAACTAGCGCAATGTGTTCATTATTCTACACTAAAGTTCAAATCTCTATTCTCGTAGTTTAACAAGCACAAGTGTACTCTGCCTTATACAATAAAGTTCAAATCTTCATCTTGTAGTGCACACTTATGGCTGCACTATGAAGATTACCATTTCGTCTTTTACTTAGACCTACTTTATGGTATTGTGAAGAGATGTTGATAATATACTAGTATACACGAAAATGGACTCCAACTTTCCCGGTAAGGAGATCATGCAAAAGTGTGGAGATGTCGGCCAAAGACAGACTTCTAGGTGAGGAGATCATGCCTTTTGTTTGAGATAACATGGAGCTTAGCTTCAAGCTTGTTCTGCATTGTCACTTTAATTAGGTTTCAAGAGTACCAAACTAAATGTGGCGCATGGACTAAGCCGATGGCTTGACGTTGTTCATGCCCCATGAGTTAGATAGGCCACCTCCAATGCATTGGACATAATCGGTTTGGATAATGGATGATCTTGACTGCAGAAATTACTGACTTTAAGTGCGAAAATAAATGTTATCAATTATTTGAGCTACAAGTTATACTCTACATGCTTTTTATTGACGCAATTACAATTTGATCTATATATATATGTTTCCCCACTATGAAGTAAATAGAAAATCAAAGAAAACAAATTAGACATATACTAAAAGTCAGCTAAAAAACCTATTCACTAACAATGTTTTGATGATTTTGTCCCTTCTTTATTGGAAATGAGGACATCTCATTCCTTTTTTCGTGGCAATTTTATGTCTTAGGAAATTGAAATCTCAGTTTCTCTTTCTTTTATCTCTCGCGACTCAATTAGTCTCTCGCGAGTTTCTCTTTCTTTTTCGTGGCAATTTTATGTTTTAGGAAATTGAAATCTCAGTTTCTCTTTCTTCTCTCTCTCGCGACTCAATTAGTCTCTCACAAATTTCTCTCTTCGAGACTCACTCCGACTTTTTCTATGAATTTTCAATTGAATATGGGCACAATATGGCTCCAGATCACCACCAGTCGAAGGTGATTTGAGATCGTGCAAGATTAGCCCTCAAATTTTGGATTTTTGTTTTTATTTGATTTCTCTTAATGCGTGTTTAAGATTCGTGTATTGTGAGGGTGATTTGAGGCAAGCAGAGTTCATTGTTACTATTTGGATTAAATTCCATTTCAAAAATTATGATGGATCATTTCTTAGATGAACCATTTATAGTTGGAAAATATTCATTAGATGATTGAACTTTGGATGATCAACTTGCATTTTGATTGTCCATTTTTAGGTTAAGCAAACATAACCATTATCCAAACCCAACCCCACAACACCCCCCCCTCCCCCCCTTCCCTCTGACAAAAAAAAAACCCCAGCCCCACACATCATCACATAGAAAAAATAGAAACATGACATGAGATAGCACTAAATTATAAATACATTGGTGTGACATTTTAGCAGATAAAGTTTAGAGATAGAGAGAGAAACAAACAAACAAACAACAAAAAGGCAAAACTATTCCATTCTCAATCCAACCAAACCCATCTCCTTCTCCCATGGACGGTGCCACGTCTTCACCCTCACTTGCCCCTACACTCGCTGACTGGTTGCTTCAGAGCATTGTACATTCAACCAGCTGACCATTTCTTTCAAAAACACAAGGGTAAAATCGTCTGACACGTACAATTGGTTTCTGCATTAAAAACTAAAAAGACAGTCAAGGGCAAGAGATATCCCACGGGATACTTCTCTCTCTCTCTCTCTTCTCTTTCGCAGACTGACCCTGCTGATATAATATTTGTCTCCAACCAGCTTTCGAATTCTCAAACCTCTCTCCCTCTCTCTCTTCTTTCTCTCTCTAAAACACTATAGACTCTCTCTCTCTATCCGCATCTATCGTCCAAGAAAACAAAAGCCGATTCTATTTCTAACCCAAAGATTGGTTCTTTTTCCTCTTTTTCTCTGTTTTTATTTTCCAGGAAAAACATCACCTTTGCCGAGAAAGTTTGAATATTCTCGAGAATTCTCGCTCAAACCTGAGATTTCTTGGTGGGGTTTGGTTCTCGGGTCGAGAATTTAAAAGGGTTTTGGCTTCGGAAGGAGATGAAGATCGGGGAAGATGGTCGGAGTTCGCCGGTGTGTGGATGATCCAGTAGCGCGATGGTTTCAGACTCTGGTGATTTCTAGGTTTTGTGCTGCGTAGATTTTTGGGGCTTTGATTAGGGCTTCTGGGTAAGTAACTGTCACATATTTTGGAGCTTAAATTTTGTTCCTTTTTTTTCCAAATTTGTTTGATGGCACGATGGTTTGATCTTTTACTGAATAATTGTAAAGAAAAGTTGGATTTTTTTAATTGTTTTGATTTTTGATTTTTTTTTTAATTTCCGAGACTTGAATTTTGTAAGGACTGTTTCATTGTTAAAAGTGTGAGTTGATGATTACACGGGCCCATATTCTTGGGGAATTAAATTAATGTAATGATGTCTCATGATTGTGTGAATGTTTATAAATTTAGTTGTGAATCTTTGAACTACTTGCGGCGAAGCATCGTTGCTGAGGCCTTTTAGACCGTACTATGGAGCTTGAACTTTCCGGTCTAAAATTTCAAATTGGAACTAGTTAATGAAAATTGATTCATGGTGTGAGAATTGAATTGAAATCGCCCCATTCAGTTACCTGCAATCGTGTGTCAATCCAATGCCGTTAATGGAACGACAAAGTTGGTGTGTCCATGTGAAATTTGAGGCCTTTTCTGAAATTAAGGACATGTTTTGGCCATAGCGTGGACCGTCTTATAACTTGGCGTTGGTGGATTTTTAATGTTGGTTAAATTTGCCATGCCATCATTTACTTTTTGCAAGTCGTCTGTATCTGACAGAACATTAGGTGGTGGGAATGTGCTCTTGAAACCTTAGGAGATTAATGTTGTAGGAATTTGTTAATTATTAGGTGACGGGAAGCGGTGGGATTTTTAGGTGGAACTGGGTGTATTCTGAAGAAGAGCAATCTCAGTTTAAATGGGTATGAAAGAACGAGATTCTCATCCTTTCGTTCCCCTTTCTTGCATGTGAATATGTCCTATGGAGAGGCTTTTGTTGGATTGACTCATATTTCTTACTGTTGTCATGATGAAGGCCGTGTGTTAAACAGATATGTTGCAACTTTCCTGTTGTCTCCTGAAGCATTACTTAGCTGCATGAGGTTTGAAAAGCCCTCAAAATTGAAAAATTAAAAATTCCAATGCTGCACGGTATATTTAGTATCAAACGTTGACATCCCTTGACAATATCCTGCCTTAGGTTGGAAGTTTCTTTGAACTTTTGTAGCATGAATGTAGTTTCCACTCATCGGTCGTTTCTTGTATTACTATGTTTCATGAGGCCGTATTTCTTACATGTACTGTTTGTATGAAATCTAATGAGCATCTGGTTGAGTTTCATGTTCAGCTGCGGAGAGATGTGGGGTTGGCAGCTTCCTGCTATCCTTCTTTCTCCTTCCTCTAGTATAATTTTTTAAAATTATATTTACCATTTTCAGCAAGCAGTTGAAGTATAACAAAATAGTTGAGCAGTATGGTTGCAAAAAGTGCTACAAGTTCTCCTAGTCCTAAAGTGGAGGTGGGAGAGATCGATACCAGGGCACCTTTCCAATCTGTTAAAGATGCCGTTTCACTGTTTGGTGAAGGTGCATTCTCTGGGGAGAAACCTGCAATTAAGAAGGCAAAAGCTCATTCAGCAGAGGTATATCTACTTCCTTTACCTTTGAGTTTAGCAAGCACATACATGTTGTATTTATATTGTTTGAAAAGCTTCACATAGGATACCCTTGAAGGAAGTTACCCTTCCGAATATCGATAACTCATAATATTTCCACCTATCATGAGAAGTTATTTAGTTTGGAAACCACTCTTTGAAGGAAGTTGTATATTCGTAACTACGGATGTGAATGACTTAGTGTCGCCTGTATATAAATCATGCATTTTTTCCTTTCCTCCATTCAGTCTCTAGATTAATTGAAACTCTTAATCATTTTTAGATTATAATGTTTCATTAACGCATGCTCTTCTACTGTCCAAGTTCATTTTGATGTGATGTCGATAATTTTTGTTGTTTCAATGCAGAGGATAGTAGTCAATGAGACACAGCTTCACCTGGCCCAGAAAGAACTGAACAAGTTGAAGGAACAACTGAAGAATGCTGAAACTACTAAAGCCCAAGCACTTGTGGAGCTTGAAAAATCCAAGGCAACTCTCGAGGATTTGTCAAAAAAGGTGAAATCCCTCACTGAAAGTAAAGAATTTGCAATAAAGGCGACAGAAGCTGCAAAAAGTCAGGCAAAGCAACTTGAAGAAGCAAACTCTGGCAACCTTGGGGGAACTGATGGTGCTTGGAAAGAAGACTTGGAATCTGCAAGAGCACAGTATTTGAGTGTGATTACTGAACTTAATGCTGCAAAGCAAGAGTTACAGAAAATTCGTCAGGACTGTGATGCATCTTTGGAAGCAAAAACTGCTGCCATCAAGCAGGCAGCAGAAGCTGAAGATGCAGCCAAAGCCAATGCGGAGAAGGTTAATGAGCTATCTAAGGAAATTTCAGCAGTACAAGAATCAATTGGGCAAGTGAAGCTCGCCTCTATGGAAGCCCAGCAGGAGCAAGTAAAGATATTTGCTGAGAAGGATGTGTTGAGGCAGTCCTATAAAGCTTCATTGGAAGAGTCAGCAAAGAAATTGCTCTCTCTGAAAAAAGAGTTTGATCCAGAACTTTCCAGAAATCTTGAAGCACAACTATCTGAAACGTTGAATGAAGTTGGAGCATTGCAAAAACAAATGGAGAATGCAAAGGCTTCGGATTTAGATTCTGTCAAAACTGTCACTTTGGAGCTGGATGATGCCAAGGAATCACTGAATAAAGTAGCTGAAGAAGAAAGCAGTCTCAGAAACTTAGTTGAAGCCCTCAAGGCGGAACTTGAGAATGTGAGGAAAGAACATAATGAACTGAAGGAGAAGGAAGCAGAAACGGAATCACTTGCTGGGAATTTACATGTTAAACTGCGGAAAACTAAGTATGAGCTTGAAGCCTGCCTAGCAGAAGAATCTAAAGCAAGAGGCGCTTCCAATGAAATGATAGCTACACTAAACCAGCTATCGTCGGAAACTGAAAATGCAAGACGAGAAGCAGAAGAGATGAAGATAAAAGCAGAGGAGTTGAAGAAGGAAGCGGAAACCACCAAAATTGCAGTAAAGGAAGCAGAAAAGAAGCTGAGACTTGCTTTGGTAGAAGCCGAAGAGGCTAAAGCCGCAGAAGAAAGGGCCCTTGAACAGATTAGAGTCCTATCTGAGAGAACTAACGCTGCTAGGGCATCAACATCCGAGTCTGGTGCCAAGATCACTATATCAAAGGACGAATACGAGTCTTTGAGCCGAAAGGTTGAGGAGTCTGATACATTGGCAGAAATGAAAGTGGCTGCTGCCATGGCTCAGGTGGAAGCTGTGAAGGCTAGTGAAAATGAGGCCTTGAAGAGGATAGAGGCAACCCAGAAGGAAATCGAGGATATGAAGTCTGCAACTGAGGAGGCCAAAAAGAGGGCAGAAATGGCTGAAGCCGCCAAAAAGGCAGTGGAAGGAGAGCTCCGAAGGTGGCGAGAAAGGGAGCAGAAGAAAGCCGCAGATGCTGCATCGCGGATATTGGCAGAAACAGAGACATCGGTGGAATCATCCCCACGCCATTACAGGGTTCAAAAGCAGAACCCTGAGACGAAAACTGTTGTGGCCCAGAAGTTGGACAAAGATAAGACATCCATTTCGAAGAAAACACTCTTGCCTACTCTCAGCGGCATGTTTAATAGAAAAAAGAACCAGGTCGAGGGCGGCTCCCCTTCTTATCTCCCCGGTGAGAAACCCCTTTGATGTCTGCGTTTGCCACGCTTGTGTCGAGATTATGAACAAGTTTGGTTGTGTCCGCATTTTGTGAAGAAGTTTGGGGAGAAGTAGAAAAAAGAGGGGTGTGAGATTAGTGAGATTTGGATGCAACTCCAGGGAACGTGTGATTTTGTATATTGGGACAGACAATTCTTGGATGATCGGTTGAAGTTTTTCTGTAGAAATGAAGTGTCGAGTATTTTAGCCTTTTGCTTTTCTTATTGGATTCTTGTTGGTTTCAGCTTCTAATCCACTCTTGCATCAATGCACATGGTTCTTTCACAACTTGCACAAATTAAATACCAAGTTCATTGTAAAACCATTGCTTCTACACAACAAACATTACCTCTAATTACGATATGTTTACTTACATGGAATGAGTAATTATGTATTTTGGATTTCATATGAGTTTATTAAGTGAAATTTGGAAAAGTAACCATATTTTAGACCCCATATAAAATTATAGCCACTATTTTAGTTTTATGATAATTCTAACGAAAACTTAATGTAAAAGTACTAATATACCCTTAATGAAAAAAAAATCCCCATTGCTTTTAAGTTTTAACCATGAAAAAACAACAATTAGTTGAGATCTTGAAGCATAAAAGAGGTAGCCTCTTGAATACTACCTAGTACCCCTAATCTTGAATCCCTCCATTTCCTACACTTTTTATTTTTATTTTTTTATCAATATATATATATATTCAAATGTAACTAGGTAACGTGAAAATTGAAGATAACCCAGTAAACTAAACATAAAAATTAATCAGGAACTGAATCATTAAAGTTGTTGATTTGTCGAAAGATTCATAATATATTCACCCGCATTGGAACATGAAAATCATTAAAGTTTTGACTAAAACCATGATATGAAATATCAAAAAGTTGATATAGGAATTGGAAGCTACAATTGACTAACCATACCATTGTTTCCTGGACAATTTGAAAAGGCTGATGCGTCTTGCTGCCTTTTTTTTTGTCAGAACATCCCTGCTGCTTAATTATGCAAAATTGGCAAAGAGTGCTCTTCTGGTTTAAGGTGAAACCAAAAGGTTGCGAGAGAGTTTAAAAGAGGTTTTGTTTTTTTTATGAGAAATCCTAATATTAAGGGTATATTAGTACTTTTACATCAAGTTTTGGTTAAAATTATCATAAAACTAAAATGGTGGCTATAATTCTATATAGAGGCTAAAATATGGTTACTTTTTCAAATTTCCCGTTTATTAACGTAAATACTACAATCACGCTGATTCTTAAATTTTCCCACATTTATTGTACTATTACACAAATTACACTTATAGTTAGGGACATGTTTACTAACCTGAAAATGGTTTGAAAACTTTGAGTTTTAATGATAAGGACAAAATAAAGGGTAAAGTGAATAGTACCAGGATTGACTTTTTTAGTGTAAAAATGTGGTTTTTCGTTAAAGTGAACAGTACCGGGTGCTTTTCGTTAAAGTTCCCTAAAGCATTTTCAATTCATAACTTCACCCGCATTTATTATTACTGTATAATCACACACATCGCACTTCTATCTTGGTATGCATATTTACCTTTTACGGTTATTAGAGTCACTATGATTTATTAACACACGAGTATTGAAATTATTTCGATTCTTGACTTCTTATGCATTTATTGTGTTAACTATATAATTATGCACATTACACTTCTAGTTTGGCATTTTTACTTACCGATAATGGTTGTCATGATCAGTGGTGGATGCACATTGGGACTAAGGTGGTCTCAGGGCCACCTGAAGTCTGAGAAATGTACATGTGAAGGTCTTCAGATGTTCCTCTGAATGTTTGGTACAGGTCCTTTTTGTGCCCACCAGTGTTTTTTTTTTTTGTCGAAATGCCTCTCCCATGTTGCTTCAACAACACTCGACAAATTCTCAATAGAACATATCAAATTGCTTCGGCATATGTCAATATACTTTGACATGTGTTCAACTTGGTTCGGTTGACGACAACAAGGCCACTAAGTGTTCAACGAAATGCCTCAATTAAAAAACTGAATTGCACTTCGTGCTATTTCTATCTAAAAAAACATAAACTTTTTAACACTGGGATCCCTACAATGCTTGAATCATGGATCCGCCACTAGTCCTAATTATGACCTTTCCTACGTTCCACAAATAAAAGATAAAAAAGAACATGAATTTCATGACACAATCCATTATGCAATACCTTAAAATCCAGTAACCAATAATCATATACCAAATTGATTAAGTATAGAGTAGTTGATCTCACGCTCATTCTCTCGTTCTAGACCCCATTCATGATTTTTTTTAAGAAAAATTAATGAAAAGGCTTGAAAGTTTTGAGTTTTAATGATAAAGACAAAATAAAGAGTAACATGAATAGTAACATGATTGATTTTTTAGTATAAAATATGATTTTTTGTTAAAATAAACGATACCAAAAGCTTTTCGTTAAAGTTTCATTTTTATTGTTCCGGACAAGTAAACATGTCAGACAAATTTATTCAAATCTGAATCTTTAGGTTTTCTTATAAATTATTGTTTTTATTGTTAAAGTACAAATTGAGTAGGCGTGGCCTCTTCTAACTCACAGAAGTCTGTATATATACGTACCTCAAGGAGAAGACGGACACTCCAAGCAATTAATGCACGTGTCATAATTGCCCGACCGAAGTCTCCCACTCCCCCACTCTCCACTTCCCGTCCACTGGAACAACGGCAACTCGGGCTCAACTCGGTTTCGACTCGGACTCGACTCAGACTCGGACTCCAAGACCCATGGGGAGCGCCCGAGACCGAGACGACTCACTCGCATTCACCAACCCATCCAAGTCCTCCTCGCCAATCGTCATCTCCGAAGCGCTCGAAAGCTTCCTCTCCGACCCCAATTCCCACATCGGCAGCGCCTCCGGGAGCTTCCAGAACGAGGGTCTCCTCGCCGACACCAGCGGAAGCTGCAGCGACGCCGAGTTCGGGTTCTCCCGGCCCGAGTTCCGGACGAGCCAACTCGCAGGGACGGTGGAGTTTTACCAAAGGCATGTGTTTTTGTGCTACAAGAACCCGCAGGTTTGGCCGCCGAGGATCGAGGCCGCCGAGTTTGATCGGCTGCCGAGGTTGCTCTACTCCGCCGTCATGGCCAGGAGGGGAGATATGAAGAAAGAGGTATACTTTATTGTTTTTTTTGCCTTGTGATTGGTGCTTAATTTGGTGAAAATCTGTGTCTTTTTAGGAATGAATTGAATCAATATTTGGTGCTATTTCATTTTTTTATCGAATTCGTTTTGTTGATATGGGTTTTGGTTACTTTGTGGATTGCTTGTTGTTTAAGTAGTGATTTCAAGGTGTGTGATTTAGTAGGTTGGGTATGAATTCTTATCAATGGAGTGGATTGCTTGTGTTTTAAGGCTGTATGGTTTGGTAGTTTTCCGCTTTCGGGTTGAATGCAGTTGCTTGTGAATGTGGAGAGCGGAATTGGATCTTGGCGGCTTGTTAGGTTTGCTTGTAATCTAAGGTTGATTTGCAAGCATGTGATTTAGTGTGTAGCTTGAACATGAAGGGGGTACCGTTTGTATTTTGGTGTTGTACAGTGGGTTCTGTTTTAGCCTTTTGGTTGTTCTTTTGGGTAATTCGGAATCCGGTTGTGTAGAATTTGCATAATTCTAAAATGGGAACTGTTAAAGGAGGTGGGATATGGCTAAACTTGACGTTGATTGATGAGGTATTCGGTGTTTACTTGCGGGTAGGATTTAGTTTGGAAAGGCGGAATAGTGTGAAAAATATGATTTTTGAAATAAGTTGAACTGACTAATCCCATGGCATCGTACAACACAATATAGGAATCTGGCGTATAACAATGTTTATGCTATAGGTCTTTTTACGTAGTTTGTTTAATACTGAATGGAATGAAATGAAAATCACCAGCAGATAAATTACCTGGCCAGATGAATGAATGATGTGATATTGATTTGTTTGCTTGGGATAGGATCCTCTCCGGATCCCTTCCCTGGGGATCCTCGGGATCCTTCAAGCACGAACGTTCCACAATAAGTAAACGGCCAGGATTAGTTTGAAACATTTTTCTTCTCTTTACGAAACGCCTCCCTCTCTCTTATTCACAGTCTTCTTTACCCTCTCTCTCTTTCTCAATCTTCACCTTCTCTTCACCATTTCTCACTCTCCTAAAAATTAATTTCAATTTTTTGATCAAAATTTCCTGTAGAGCGACATCATTCACGTGACATCTCTCTCCCGTCCCATTTTGCTTCTCAGCATTTCACCTTTCACCTTCCCCTTGCCTCCCACATCTCAGAGTTTCAATAAAGCCATCTTTGTTGTTGGTCTCAAGCAGAAAATCAATCAATCCAACAAATTAAACACCCAAAACCCAATCTTTACCCCCGTCCTCCATCCCAAACCCGACTTCTTTTATTCACCCAACCAAAAACACCCATACACCAAGAATAACATTTTTAGTATGTGCTTTTTTTGTTGTGTATTTTCCAAACTCCCTTGCAACCCAGAAATTAAAATTTCCAAACAGCCAAGCAATAGATTGCAGGGAGAAAGAAGAGATTTGTCAGATTTTGTATTTGACGTGAAACCCATTAAACCAAGGGAGGGAGAAAGAGGAGAAAAGTAGTTCGGATCGAGGATCTTTGCTTGGGCCGTCTTGCGATGATCGGCACTCGGAGGCTTGAGGAGCAGCCCGCTAAAAGGGAAGCCATGAAGATGGCGGACTTGCCAGTGCAGTGTTGAAAGAGAAGAGAGAGAGGCAGACTATTTGATGTGAAATTGAAATGGTTCCTACAGCTCTTTGATGGAAAAAAGAGAGAAGAAAACTGAAATCTAGTGAAATTGAGTGAGGAGACTCAGAAGAGAGAAGAAAGAGAGAGACAGACTTTTTGATGTGAAAATCATTAAAAGGATAAATTAATTACTAGCCATAGGATATGCATCTAACGTCCACGATCAAATTGGTCCGGAGGCTCCACTGTGAAAGTTCCGGAGAGGACCTGAGCCCTTTTTGCTTGGATGCAGTGTTTACTGACCATTCATAGAAGTTGGATCTATTAGCTGCACATTCTATGCTGCTTAAAATACCCTGTCATTACCAGTTTATTCCTTTTTAACTTCTTATTTTCTTTAGCGGTATACTCTTGGTTGAGGCTAACAATTCTTTTTTGTCTCTTTCCTCTTGTTCCTCTTCTAGACCCGCTTAACAATATGTGAAGGACATGATGGAACTGAAACATCAAATGGCGATGTATTAATTTTCCCCGACATGATCCGATACAGGTAAGCTACAAGTTCCACTGGTATTTCCTTTAGATACTTTGATTCCCCTTAAAATTTGATACTAAAATAAACTTAATGATAATATGCAGGAGATTGACCCATTTTGATGTTGATACATTTGTTGAAGAAGTTCTTGTGAAGGATGGTGAGTGGCTGCCTGGAACTCCTGAAACTCTGAAGGGGTCATATGTTTTTGTATGTTCTCATGGGTCCCGGGATCGCCGTTGTGGTGTCTGTGGACCTCCCCTGATCAATAGATTTAGAGAAGAGGTAGAATTACATGGTCTTCAGGGTAAAGTGTCCGTTAGCCCATGTTCGCACATTGGGGGGCATAAATATGCTGGAAATGTTATCATGTTTGGATCAAATTGCAACAGAAAAGTATCTGGCCACTGGTAAATGGAATTGTTATTCTGTTAATTTATATTACTTTTGGCACTCTTTTCTGTTATTATTGCTCTTAGGTATATTTTTCGCTCTTTTCCAATTCTATACACTTGATTAATTGTTGGCAATATCTGGTCATTTTATTTCTGATAGGTATGGATATGTTGCTCCAGAAGATGTACCTGTATTGCTTGAACAGCATGTCGGGAAAGGAGAAATTGTAGACTGGCTATGGAGGTAATCCGCTTGAATCTTCAATTTTTCTCATAATTCATAGGCTTGCTTTTGAAGCAATTTTCGCATATCGATGCTTGCTCTATTATTGAAACAATGTTTAGCCATGAAACTGGATCTTAGACGAAGGGGCCCTTTTGCACCTATGCAATTTTATTCTGATTAGAGAAAGGAGGTTGAAAATATAGGGGAAATAGTCGGTTCAACCTTTGCAAAATTAGTAGCCGATTATTTTATGAAGTGGTCACTCTTCTTGTTTGAGGATTTTTTGTTCCTCCCGTGTGCATGCGTTCTGTAACTGTGATTACTGACATGAATCTATGGTGTGGTTTCAGGGGCCAGATGGGTTTATCAGAAGAACAGCAGAAGGAATCTCAAGAACGAAGGCTCCAGCTTAATGGTGAGACAAATGTGGGAAAAACCACTACAGAGTTGACACAACCAAAGGAAAGGGGGATGAATACTAGTGTATGTAGATCGCAAATCGAGATTGGGGGCTGTTGCCAGGAAAACGGAAACTCTTGCTGTCAGAATGCTACGCTAATGGAAAACATAAATAGTCCCGACCTGAATGAGATTGCAGCGAAGCCAACAGCAGCCGAAAAGAAAAAAAGCAGTAGGAAACCACTCTCACGAATGAATAGTGGCAAAGGGGCATCCACGCGCAAGGTGTGTGCGGTGCCAACATGGTTTCAGACCTGGGAGCGTGAAGATACATACGCAGCTGTAGCTGTTGTTTGTGCCGCTGTGTCAGTTGCCGTTGCTTACAAGTGCTACAAACAGTTGAGCTGAAACCGTGGATCCAATCTGCGTTGTTTGATCATGTTACAGGTTATTGTCAACCCTCGAAATTTAACATTTCGCTTCTAGTTCTAACCGTGAGGCCCCTACGGAAGGATCTGTATTGTGCTTACAGAAGGGGAAGGGATTTGGATACGTTCGTGCATGTGTAAGAACACTCTGGCGGGCGGGCGGGCGGGATACTCGAATTATCTTTGTTTTGGATATAATTTGTACCTGTGCATATATATCAACAATTTGTAACCCAATCCATATATTGACAACATCTTTCGTATGGTATTTTGGATGCTCATCAATCTCAATATGAAGCAAAGCTGTTTCACTACTTGTTATTTTTTCTAATTTCCAGGTTAGAATTCAACAAAAAATGTGTTAATGATCCAAAAAATAGGTGTTAACATTGCCCTAACCACGCATGTAAAAGATTTTGGGGACACTCGAGAATTGCATTTTTTTCACAAAAACTGTGAGAAATAAGTCACGGTGTTTCATTGTTTTGCAAATTTATTAAAAAACATTATGAAACCTATTTTCGTGCATTTTGGTCGCACCATAAACCTCCTTGTGGAATATTCTAGAGATGTTTAAGGGCTTATTTGGATATGTTTTTAAAATGATTGAAAGCACTTTCAGAGAAATTGTTTTTGGGTTCCAAAACTACTTGAAGTAAAATGACTGAAAGCGCTTTCAAAGAAATTGTTTTTGGGTTCCAAAATTACTTGAAGTGCTTTCTACAAGAAGCATCAGTTATGTGCTTTTTCCAGGAAATACTTTTTAAGTGCTTTTACAGGATTTACTAGCATTTTTACTAAAGATTGTTTTCAAAAATATTTTCACCAAAAGCTCTTTCAGTCTTTTAAAAGTACATCCAAACGAACTCTAAGCCGAGGAAACTCTGTTTTGGCTATGTTCTCAAGCCCTATTACCATTACTTGTTCATTTTCCTATTTTCATATGCATATGTAGGAGTGCAACTTGAGCTAGGTCAACTCGACAATTTATGACCCAAAAAATGAATATACTCATTAAACCTGTTTCTTCAAGTTGGACAGGAGAAATATCAAAACAGAATACCAGAACACTAGTACATAACCCATCATAAAATCTTACTATAACTCGGGTTTTAATCGGTTTTGCAAAGTTCTACAAAAACCGTGATATTAGTATTAGTTCGTACTAAAAAATCTGCATCGAGCCGATGCAAGCATTACACTGGTACATAAAATTAACTTTGGAACATTCCTGGCTCATGGCAAAGGAAGAGTGTTTAGCTACATTGTCATGTAGGATCTAGTTGCTAGGTACCTGCTATAAATTTGTCAAGCACCATTGACTCTTAGGCCACTTAGTGACTTGGCGAGCCCGTTTTGATTCTGATTTCCGAACTTTTGGAACTCGGATTCTATGGTCTTTGCAAGCTCTGCACGTTCTGGGTCCGTCTCTGGAAAATTAACATGGAAGGATCCCTGCTTGAGTGGTGCAATGGACTCCCTCAAGCTGGCTTGTTGCTTGACGAATTTGTAGAGCTCTTGATGGAATGGATGGTCAAGGGAGAAACAATTGTTAGTGTGTCCGTTGTCAGAATGCCGAGAGGACCCGGATCCCTCTTTTCTACAAAAATGTGGGAGAGATGCGTAGTCCATGATCTGAATAAACATTTTTGGGTTAAGTTGTCATCATCAAGGAAACCAAACAAAACATAGACGAACAAATGCAGCTGGAAAAGAACAAGATATTTAACACTTTGAAAAGTTTACGGGGTAGAATATAACACGAAATTAAGTTGCCAGCAGGAAGTAGAAATAACGGAATAGGAAGTCAGTGGTAACAGTTGAACCAAAGAACATGCTTACTTTCAGTAATTCGTCTTTCCCAGAACCTTGAAGAACCTGGATTTTCCTCCTTGTTCTTTCTTGCAAAAGAGGCTTTACCACCTGTCAAGACTTTACATTAGGACTTGTGTAATATACCCACCAAATCCTTTTCCCTTTTTCCGACGTATTATTTCAAAGTTTGAGTTGTTACAAACCTTCCAACAGGCGGAAAATATGTATGGGACATTGACGATATAGTATGTATCCGTCTTCTCTGGATAGTTTAAGTCATCAATTGTAGAGATAACAGTCAAAAGCTGCATCAACAGATCATACAAAGTGTCAATCTCACGGATCCTTACAAAAAGAATTAAAAAGAAAAACAAAAGGCAAACAAATAGAGGCTCATGCTATAGCAAGAGATACCTTTATCTGGTTAAGTGCTGAGAGCCTTAAACCAGTCATATCCAAAACCTTCACACACGTTCCAATATATTTTCCATACTTCTTCGTTGCGGAAGGCTACAACAAAAAGAGAGAAAAATCAGGCTCCTAAAAGAATTCCCTGTTAGAAAGATAAAACTAAACATTCTCAAGTACTGACCAATACAACACGATCTCTGTACTCATTCATTTGGATGTGAGACTGGACATAGTAATTTACCTACAATGACAATGAATCAAACAAGTAAGCATCACCACAAGAATCATAATATCACACAACCGCATACAAACATGCACCAAACTACGTTTGAACAGAAACATGGGTACATAAAGCTCATTATGTTAGAAAATTTGCGTATCTGCACATTAATACATGACCAATGTTATAATATCTCGAAACTCCATGGTATACTTAATGACTCATTTTCTTAGCATTGGAAGTCTCAGTAACACCAAAATATAGAACATTATGCCCATAAATTCTAATGCCTTCTCTCAGGTCAGACGTATTATACTTTCTAATGTGTAAGGACAGATACGACCCACATAATAGCTTAAAGCCCCAGCGTAACTTAGATGATTTCTTGATAATGGTTTCCATCATTACACATCAAAACCAGACATACAAAGTTATCTATGTTAAAGAAAATTAAACAGAACAAATTATATCATCCTTACAGAAGCTTTGTCAAATGAGCTTTGCCCAACACCAACAGCAATGACCGGAAGACCCTGGAAAAAGAAAGCAATATGACAATGAGATATAAGAATTAAGTTTGAAATTAAAAGTAATGCACCCCAAGGGAACAAAAAACTAATCATGTTTTGCAGCCGAAAGAAGAAAATTTCAGGATACCTCTTTTGAGTAACCTGACAACCCCACAAGGTAAGAATCTCGCACTGCTCTGTATTTATCATTTGGGATGATTGGTTTCTGTACATAGAAAATTAAATGCTTTGTCACCACATTAAGTATATTCACCTTTCCACCATGGTTAAAGTATCAAATCTCGCCACTAACTAAGCCTGAAATGCATGAATCTCAAGAGAACTACAAGTGACTGGTCACACGATATCATGTTTATTTACTAATTATTCATTGAGAAAACTCACCGCCAATATATTGTCAATTTCGCTTTCTGTCCTCCATTGTAAACAGTCGAGCAACTGGAACAGTTTAGCATTATTAGGAAAGCATTATAAGCAAAAGATGAACAACAGCTTGAGATCATGAAACCTGAAACATTATAAATATTATTTAGTAAACTGAATGAATCTAACCATTTTATGGGCTTTTCCCACATTCATGTCTCGAGCTTTAAGAAAACGCATTAATGTCTCATTTCGATACCCCTGGTGCACATTCTGTAGATCAAGAGGCACCAAGTGAATTTGAGATATCATTTATGCAAACCATATATCATAAAAGAAAAGAACAATATTATCCTCTTCAATTCTAGAATTTGAAGCAAAACAAGAATAAGCCTCAAAACCATGCTATATTTTCTCAAAACTTTGCAAAAGTTTAGCTTGGCCAATGCCATCTCTCTGATTTTCCTTTGGCTTTCTTTTTCTCCATCCCTTTTTTTTCTGGTTAGGATCCTTTGCCCCTCTCTCTCTCTCTCAAACAATGTAATCCCCTCCCCCTCCTTCCTCCTTCCTCCTCCCCCCATACTTCCATAACAAAGGGCTTCATTTCATTATGCATTGTCCAAAAAAATGCAACAAGTACATCATGCCCAATTAGATGCAGTAAGGTTCAGTTCAATTAAATTGTTCATCACCCGCAGAACAGGTTCACCAATTCAGAGCATAAACCCGACGCTATATTTGCATAAAAACTCCATCTTTATTAAAACCCAATATGAAGATTCCATAGAAACTCATACTTTCGTCTCACTATAAGCGAATATGAAGTTTCATCCACCCAAAAACGAGCAAGATCAGATTGATTAAGTAATAATTAATACGCTGCCGGCATTCTCTTAGTAACCAGTGATTAGGATCACCATAGCAGATTACCTTCAGCGGTAAACATCTGATTTAACAAATGAATTCACCCGGCCTAAAAACAGACAGAAACTCCGAAAATGCGTGGCATCGGAGTCTCAGATCACATCCAAAATATTGACTTATGACCTAAACAGTAAGCTAAAACGACTAAATTGTGGTCAACTGAGTAAAGGGTTTTGATCTCTAACGCTGCAAATCTTTAAAGTAACAAAATTTCAGAACTCCAAAGTCATTTTCTTGTTCAATCTTTTTTCCCAGTATCCAAACACGGAACAGATCGAGCAAAACTAAAAGAAAGGGAATGGTCTAACCTCAAACGTATTCTTCAGTGACTCGTCAACTGTAAATTCAGAGGAAAAAAATAATTAAAAATTAGCTAAATATTATATCAAATGAGAAAATTAAGCAGATTTTCAACTGGGTTTAAAAAGCTCACCTTCTTCCATTAACTTCTGAAACTGCTTGACCGCATCTTGATTGGCAATACCCATTTTTCTCTCTACAGTGATCTAAACAAAAAAGGCCTCAAATTGGCACAAGATTGTGAAAAACCAAAACTGGGTTGGGTTTCACTCTGATTCTCTCTGATTCTCTCTCCTCCTCTCTCTCTCCCTCTCTCTCCTCACTTTTTGCAGTGCTCTAGATTACAAAAACTCAAACTGATTCACCAAAATCTAGGGAGAAAGAAAGAGAGAAGTTTAAAGGTGGAGAAAACTTTAAGAGAAAGCAGAGAGGGGAGAGGAGAGAGGAGAGAGAGAGAGAGAGACAGAGAAAAAGTGTGGTCCTTTTTCAAATCTGGTGCATTTCTGAGCACCTTAACGATGATTGAGATCTTTTTTAAGGCATTTGTTGGACATTTTTTTTTTTTGTCAAAATTAAAATGAGCGGTTAAAAATAGAAAGAAATAAGAAAAATGAAGCCATATCTTAAAGACATAAACCAACGATGGTGGTTTGTTGGTATCTTCGTTTTTCAACCCATTTGCTTTTTATGGACTTTTGTTTCTTTTGATGCCGTATGAAATC